CTAGCACCCCCTCCAAGGTCTCCAAAAAGGGTGGGTAGTCTGAGCTGCAGTTTGGTGCATAAGCACAGACCACAGTCAGGACCCATCCCCCCACAAGTAGGCGGAAGGGAGGCTACCCTCTCGTTCACCCCAACGTACAGGCACCAAGATGTTATGCCCACCCCTGCTTGTGGCCGCTTAGTGGGAGCAATTTCAGCGTGGTAGAGTGTCCAACCCCTCTCAAGGAAACTGGTTCTTGAGCCAGAGCAATGCTTTGAGGTGAGTCCAGTTATATCTAGTCGGAACCTAACCCAGCAAACATTTGGATGTTTAATCAACCCTGAAAAGATGTCGGGCCGACACGTCCCGTCATGTTTGAAAAATAGTTCCAAAATGAAAGTTGAACCGACGTCTTTTCTGGACGTGAATTACTCGTAACAATTATAAATGTAACTACAAATCTGAGTGAATTTTTAGGAAATGTTATGCAAAAATTTTTTAAAAATTTGGACCATCCTACCGCGACCATTTTTGGCCGTGGACACCACGTCGCCGCCGGACAAATGTTTTGTTGGGTCCTACCGCAACTATTTTTGGCCGTGGACACAGAGTTGCCATTGGACCAATATTTGCTGGGATGCCATGTTGAACTACACGTAACTAACTGTCAAAATAACAATTATACATATAACTGTAGGCACGTACAAATGTATCTGAATGGATTTGTAAGACATGTTTGTTTTTTGTTGTTGTTTTTTTTTTACAAATTCGGGCCGTCCTACCGCGATAATTTTTTAAAGTGGACACCACGTTGGTGTCGGACCAATGTTTGTTGGGAAACCTCCTCATTACACCATCAGGTTCGAATCAAGTATTTATTAAATTAAAATTTGAACCCAAGTTGTAAACGCAACATAGATATTCACCGTACCCTAAAATCCCACTGGCTTAAGTGGTTTATAGTAAATATAGGCATAATAATAATAATAATAATAATACATTTTATTTAAAAGCGCCTTTCAGGACACCCAAGGTCACTTTACAGAAAACACGTAATAAAATACAATAAAACAATAATAAAACCCAAACAAGAAAAAAACAAAGAGAGAAACAGTTCAATAAAATCAGAGGTTGTAGGCAGATTTAAACATGTGTGTATTGAGTTTTGTTTTGAAAAGGGTAAAACTGTCGATGTTCCTGATGTCTGGGGGAAGTGAGTTCCAGAGTCGAGGAGCAGAGCGGCTGAAAGCTCTGCTCCCCATGGTAGCGAGACGGGCAGAAGGAACCGCAAGATGGATGGAAGAAGAAGATCTGAGTGAACGGGATGGGGTGTGAATACTTATAAGGTCTGAGATATATGGAGGAGAGAGGTTGTGGATTGCTTTGAAGGTATGAAGGACAATTTTGAAGATGGACCTGAATTTAACTGGGAGCCAGTGAAGCTGCTGGAGAACCGGGGTGATGTGGTGAAAGGAAGGGGTTCTGGTGATAATACGGGCTGCTGAATTCTGGACCAGTTGCAGTTTATGAAGGAGTTTGTTGGGGAGAGCATAAAGAAGTGAACTGCAATAGTCGATACGGGAGGTGACGAGGCTGTGGACGAGAATGGCGGCAGTGTGAGGGGTCAGTGAGGGACGGAGACGGTTTATGGAACGTAGATGGAAGTATGCTGACCGAATTAAGTTATTAATGTGAGCTTGAAAAGAAAGTGAGCTGTCGAGAATGACACCCAGACTCTTGACGTGAGGTGAGGGGGAGACTATGGCGCTGTCAATTGTTAAAGAGAAGCTGTCAGATGTTGAGAGGGTGGAGTTAGTGCCAACTAGAAGAAGTTCAGTTTTATTGCCGTTGAGTTTGAGGAAATTTGAGGTGAACCAAGATTTGATTTCAGAGAGGCAGAGTGTAAGGGAGGATGGTGGAAGAGTTGAGTTGGGCTTACTGGAAATGTAGAGCTGGGTGTCATCCGCAAAGCAGTGAATTTTATGTTAGATTTTGGACCAAACTGTTAGTAGCCACATAGCCACCATCTTGAATCTGATCGCTGGAATGTGAGACTTCCCAAACCTGGCGGGAGCTTCCGGTAAAAAAATAAAATCATTTTCTGAGCTAAAAGGTTGGAATTGTGAGAGGAACTTTGGATTTATTTTTACATTCCAGCTTATTGAACAGTTCCGGACTTTTGATCTGATGTAAACGTTCTGGATTTTCTTGAAAATGAAGAGGGATTCATTTTCATTTATATGACAGACCAGCTCTGGCCTTCAAGAGCGCCTTGAACGGCAGCTCTCATGGTCTGCCTGTATCTGGTTTTTTCTACATGTTGTGTGTGTGTAACCTTGGTCAGGCTGTACTGCGGAGACACATTTCTGTGCTGCAGGATGCTGGGGCACTGACAACAAAGGTGATTCTGAGGAATAACTTTAACCCTCCCGCTGTCCTAATGGGTGTGACCCCACGAGGAAAGTTGACCATTGAGCAGGGTTGATGGTTTATCCCTTGGGTCCATGTGGCAGGGGTGAGGAGTGAGCACCACCTCTTAACTGCTGTATTACAAATACTTCAACATCACCCATCCCTAATTCTGCAATAATTATCTCTAAAAATGAATCGATGCCTATTTAATAGGGTGGAATATATAAATAAAAAACTATTTGCTGAATGTTTCATGAGGACATCTTTAAAACAACTTTTCTAATGTTGGTAAAAAGAAAATTGTCATAACTGTTGTTATTCTCACTCATCTGAAGCTCAGTAGGGTCGAGGGGGAGTTAACGCCAGCAGTCCTTATGCAGAGAGAGGGGACACGCTGGACATGCCTCCAGTCCATTACAGGGACACAGAGAGACAACCACTCACACCTAGGGACAATTAAGGTCAGGGATGTCCAAACTTTTCAAGACGAGGGCCAAAATCCTGAAGTTAAAACTCCTCACGAGCCACAAAAGGTTCTCCGGCTTTCGCTGGAGCGGTTTGCAGCCGAGTGTGAAGCAGCTGGGATGAGAATCAGCTCCTCTAAATCTGAGACCACGGTCTTGAGTCAGAAAAGGGTAGAATGCCTTCTCCGGGTCAGGGATGAGGTCCTGCCCCAAGTGGAGGAGTTTAAGTATCTCGGGGTCCTGTTCACGAGTGAGAGAAAACTGGAGCGTGAGATCGATAGGTGGATTGGTGCTGCATCTGCAGTGATGCGGGCGTTGTACCGGTCTGTCGTGGTGAAGAGAGAGCTGAGTCCGAAGGTGAAGCTCTCTGTTTACCGGTAGATCTACATTCCTACCCTCACCTATGGTCATGAGCTTTGGGTAGTGACCGAAAGAACGAGATCGTGGATACAAGTGTTTTCTCCAAAGAGTGTCTGGGCTCTCCCTTAGAGATAGGGTGAGAAGCTCAGTCATCTGGGAGGGGCTCAGAGTAGACCCGCTGTTCCTCCACATCGAGAGGAGCCAGTTGAGGTGACTCAGACATCTGGTCAGGACGCCTCCCTGGTGAGGTTTTCCAGGCACTTCGAACCAGGAGGACACCCAAGGGAAGATCCAGGACACGCTGGAGGGACTATGTCTCAGCTGGCCAGGGAACGCCTTGGGATTCCCCCGGAGGAGCTGGCCCAAGTGGCTGGGGAGAGGGAAGTCTGGATCCCTTTGCTTAGGCTGCTGCCCCCACGACCTGACTCAGATAAACGGAAGAGGATGAATGGATGGATGGATGGATGGATGGATGGATGGATGGATGGATGGATGGATGGGTGGATGGATGGATGGATGGATGGATGGATGGATGGATTGATGGATGGATGGATGGATTGATGGATGGATGGATGGATAGACGAGCAACAAAAATTACATTTTTCTTTTTAGGACTGCAAACATTATTTTATACATGTCATTTGTTCTGCTTAAAAGACAGATAAGACAGAGATATCAGTAAAAATCTGAACCTAAAATATTAAAATATATGAATTTATATCAACAGCCTCCTGCAGAGATTTAATTCCACCATTCTAAAAACGCTAGTGAGGGCCACACAGAATCACAACGAGGCCCGCAAATGGCCCCTGGGCCACACTTTGGACACACCTGGTTTAGGTTGACGTGCACGTTTTTGATCTGTGGGAGGAAACCGGAGAAAACACGCACAGTAGAACATGCAGACTCCACGCAGACAGGTTAGCTGGGATTTGGACCTGCAACATTCTTCCAGCAAGGCCACAGTTCTACAACTGCTCCACCTGAAATTGTAGGATCTTGTTTATCCCAGGATCAGTTCTTTTATCAGCTCATTAGGAATAATTATAATATTTTAAAATATTTCTGACTGACCTGCTGCATTGGTCAGTGTGTTTAATAACATGTAGTTTTTAACTGTTGCCGGATAAAAATATGAGTTTGTGATGATGATGATGATGGTGGATGGTTGTAATCCAGATCTACTTCATGCATGATTCATCCTCTCAGACACAGACACACACACACACACGCACACACACGCACACACACACACACACACTCCGCCAGCATATGGTCCATGTTGGGATGCATTACCACGTCATAGGTTCAGAGGACACAGACGACTGGGATGAGCAAAACAGGCAGATGCTTTTATTTTGAAGGCCTGCAGGGCTCCTTAAATCCCCTCCCATGATCCTAGACCACTCCATCACCACACACACACACACACACACACACACACACACACACACACACACACACACACACACACACACACACACACACACACACACACACACACACACACACACACACACACACACACACCTTGTTGATCAGCTGTTTGTCCACAGAGACATTTACATCTTCGGGAGGATTTTAGAGAATCTGCGGCGCGTGTTTCCTGTCAGCCACACACGCGCGCGTCATCGGTTGATGTGTATTTGAACGCTTGACATTTATTGTGGAGACCCTCGAAAGGGACCGCGCTGTCCCCGGTCTCGTGCCCCGTGTCCCCGCATCACTCCTCATAAATCTCCGCAGGTGCAGAATCCGCCATCAGCGAACCGAGCCGACCCTTACCTTCATGTCGGTAGAGACGAGGCCCCGCGCCGGAGGCTGGAGTCCACATCGCCTCTCTGTCCGGTCCCGTTCTGTCCTCGCCCGGCCTGGCAGGGCTCGGCTCGGCTCGGTCGTCCCCCCTTCCTCTCCCTCCCCCCGGACAACCTGGTGGGATTAAAGCTCAGCCCCTCCCTCCGCTCCGTGACATCAGAGCGGATTAGCGATGCACAAAGCGCCTTTCTACCCGCTGCTGATGCTGGTGCCGCAGCTGCTGGTGCTGGTGCAGACAAACAGCTCCACGGGCCGAACCCGCCCGCTCCATCAGCGGAACCAGCAGCCTGCAAAGTGCTGTAGCACGCAGCGCCACCTTCCACCGCTGGGGGCGCTGTTCCCTAGAGCTGAATATCCATAAATGTTGTTGTTTTTACTAAAACTACAGAAAAGCTGGTAGAAAGTGTAGAACACGGTGGAACAAGTAATAACACACCACTGGTTCTATGGCCCTGGCTGTCCCTTTAGTATTCCTGGGAGCTGGTCACCAGTGGAGTGCTCAGGCCTTCATGAGGTGACCCATGTGGGGGTGGGGGGGATTACCCCTCCAACATCGTTTTGTGTCCTGACAAGTTTTCCCTCTTCTTCTTCTTCCTGTTTTATAAATGATAAATGACCCCCACTTGTATCGCCCCTTTCACAGTCAGAGGACTCCAAAGCACTTTACACTACAGTGGACCATTCACCCATTCACACTGGTGGTGATGAGCTACACTGTAGCCACAGCCTCACCGGGGCGCACCGACAGAGGCGAGACCGCCGAGCACAGGCACCACCGGTCCCTCCGACCACCAACAGCAGGCAAGGTGAGTTAAGTGTCTTGCCCAAGGACACAACATCCAGGAGACGGGATCGAACCTGCAACCCTCATGGACAACCCGCTCTACCTCCTGTTGTGGCTAGCAAGCCCCCTCTTGGTGCGTTGGGACAGCAGAAGCTCAGGAGGTTGCCAGTTTGTATCAGGGATACTGAAAATTTGTACGAATGACTTGTGCAACTGTTTAATCTGATTTAATGAGCATAATCCCATATAGTTTACAATAATCTCACCACAGTCTGGAGTCCTGTGAGCAGAGCTTATTTCTACACTGTTAAGCATCTTCGCCTATACGTCACAGCCACCTTTCACTCCCACAGGAGCTCCCGTTGCCATGACAACAACACATGATGCAGGGTGGTGGTGGTGTTGGGTGGTAACCATGACAACCAATCTGTTATTACCATCCCACATGTCTTTGATACCACACAAAACAGCCCGTGCCTTTTTTTTTTTTTTTGCGCCGGCTGTGAACTTTTCAGTTCATGTGATGTTTGTATTTTTTCCTTTTTTTCAATCGACCCGAGCCAATCACAGAGTCTAAAAGGGTGAAACATGGCAAAAGGAGCGGATGAGAGGCAGCATGATCCCTCTGCGGACAGCATTCGTTCCTGTTGCACTTAGATCATGTGGTTTATTCTGAGTTCTGCTAACCGGTGCTCCGTTTTCAGAGAACGCATCAATAATTTGCGTACATTTCTCTGCAAACACAAATGAATCTATACAGCCTGCAGAGGCGACAGCAGCTGCTGGAGTTAACACACATTAATGTTTCATTATAATCCATTAGCGGTTCGTTTTTCTGTTGCAGAAAACCAGTGTTGGGAGTAACGCGGTACAAAAGTAATTAATTACTGTAATGCATTGCTTTTTGCTGTAATGTGGTAATGTAAGGCATTACAGGGAAAGAAAATGGGAATATTTACTCGGTACAATTGTCAGTAACGCGGTGATTACAACGCATTTTTAAACCCAGAATCAAGATGTGAGTTTCCTAAAAATTAAAATTGCAGGAATCCCAAAATAAAGATCCAGTATCCACATATATGACGTCATTTATGGACTCAGCTTTGCGGGCATTCTATGAGCAGAGAGGTAACGGCTCAAATACTCCAGCTGCATCCTGCGCGCGGCCGCTGTTATATTCACAAAATCGCTCCACCAAAACAAAGTCATTCACCTGCGATCGTTTATATCAGCCCATATTCTCTGGTACTTCATGTACTTTTCAGCTGAGTTCATAATCTGTGCCTCGGTGATTTCAACTCATTGCTGCTGGAGCGCAGCGCGTATTAAGCTGTTTTTGCGTTCGGTAGATCCCGTTGGCTGATTAGTTAGAAAGCAGGAAGTCTAGTTTACAGTTTTTCTGGGAGACGGAGAAAACATGCAGCATGCAGGACGGTTCGAGAGAGAAAGGGCCGGAAATTATTCACATAAAATCAAGAAAACAAAACAAAGTGCTTGAGAAGAATAAAGTAGGTAGATTTATCCCCAAAACACATTTTTACCAGTGAAAAGCAATAATATATAAACATTTAATATTTATACATGTGATAGAATCAGATCACCCCAGAAGTCTGTCCCACATCCAGGGCCGTGTCAAGGCATTTGGGGACCAAGGCAAATATAGGCTTTCGACCACGGCAGCCACGTACTTTGAGATTTATCAGTTTGTAAAGGTTTGTAAAAAGCACGACTACAAATCAGACATCGGCATGTTGCATATGTGACGTCACCCCGGAGTCTCCTCCCCTAGCGCAGCTGCTACTCACCACATGGCCAGATTTATGGTGGTTCTGTCCTCCTGAAGGAAAGATTCGAAGTTTGCTGAACTTGCAGCCATTTTCCCTCCGTTTTTCTAGGGGCGGCCATGGCCACCCCTGGCCACTCCTTTGGGGCACCCTTGCTTTACACGTTGGTACTTTTATATCTTTCATCACAACTTAAGTTTTTATGGTTCATGAAGCTTTTTCCTAACAAAACGTTTACCTGACTTTTATGTCACAGCAGGCCGACTTTAAACTGAAGTGTTCAAACTCGTCGTAGTTCATTTATCCTGCTTCAGAACGTAGGTGTGACTGTCTCCCCCCACCTGCTGTGTCTCTCGCTGAGGATCGTGGTTCTCTTGATTAACACAAACAGTTTTGGTGTTATTGTAACTTTAAGAGCTGCAATTGCTTTCCTCAGAAATTCTGCAATTTTGAATGATTTTCTTTTCCAGATTCTTTTGATTTAGTCGATCATTTGCTGCCAGCGGTTCGCAGCCGAGTGTGAAGCAGCTGGGATGAGAATCAGCTCCCCTAAATCTGAGACCATGGTCTTGAGTCAGAAAAGGGTAAAATGCCTTCTCCTGGTCAGGGATGAGGTCCTGCCCCAAGTGGAGGAGTTTAAGTACCTCGGGGTCTTGTTCACGAGTGAGGGAAAACTGGAGCGTGAGATCGATAGGTGGATTGGTGCTGCATCTGCAGTGATGCGGGCGTTGTACCGGTCTGTCGTGGTGAAGAGAGAGCTGAGTCAGAAGGTGAAGCTCTCTGTTTACCGGTCGATCTACGTTCCTACCCTCACCGATGGTCATGAGCTTTGGGTAGTGACCGAAAGAACAAGATCACGGATACAAGCGGCCAAAATGAGTTTTTGCTCCAAAGAGTGGCTGGGCTCTCCCTTAGAGATAGGGTGAGAAGCTCGGTCATTCGGGAGGGGCTCGGAGTAGATCTGCTGCTCCTCCACATCGAGAGGAGCCAGTTGAGGTGGCTCGGGCATCTGGTCAGGATGCCTCCCTGGTGAGGTTTTCCGGGCACGTCCAGCCAGGAGGAGACCTAAAGGAAGACCCAGGACACGTTGGAGGGACTATGTCTCTCACCTTGCCAGGGAACGCCTTGGGATTCCCCCGGAGGAGCTGGCCCAAGTGGCTGGGGAGAGGGAAGTCTGGGCCTCTCGACTTAGGCTACTGCCCCCGCGACCCGACTCTGGATAGGTGGATAAAAATGGATGGATGGACGGATGGATGGATGGATGGGTGGATGGATGGATGGATGGATTGATGGATGGATGGATGGATGGATGGATGGATGGATGGATGGACGAATGGATGGATGGATGATGGATGGACAGATGGATGGATGGACGGACGGATGGCTGGATGATGGATGGATGGATGGACGAATGGATGGATGGATGATGGATGGACAGATGGATGGATGGACGGATGGATGGCTGGATGATGGATGGACGGATGGATGGATGGATGGATGGATGGATGGATGGATGGATGGATGATGGATGGACGGATGAATGGATGGATGGATGGATGATGGATGGATGGATGGATGGATGGATGGATGGATGATGGATGGACGGATGGATGGACGGATGGATGGATGGATGGATGGATGATGGACGGATGGATGGATGGATGGATGGATGGATGGATGATGGATGGACGGATGGATGGATGGATGGATGGATGGATGATGGATGGATGGACGGATGGATGGATGGATGGATGATGGATGGATGGATGGATGGATGATGGATGGACGGATGGATGGACGGATGGATGGATGGATGATGGACGGATGGATGGATGGATGGATGGATGATGGATGGACGGATGGATGGATGGATGGATGGACGGATGGATGGATGATGGATGGATGGATGGATGGATGGATGATGGATGGACGGATGGATGGATGGATGGACGGATGGATGGACGGATGGATGGATGATGGATGGATGGATGGATGGATGGATGATGGATGGACGGATGGATGGATGGATGGATGGATGGATGGATGGATGGATGGATGGATGGATGATGGATGGACGGATGGATGGATGGATGGATGATGGATGGATGGATGGATGGATGGATGGATGGATGGATGATGGATGGACGGATGGATGGACGGATGGATGGATGGATGGATGGATGGATGATGGACGGATGGATGGATGGATGGATGGATGGATGATGGATGGACGGATGGATGGATGGATGGACGGATGGATGGATGATGGATGGATGGATGGATGGATGGATGGATGATGGATGGACGGATGGATGGATGGATGGACGGATGGATGGATGATGGATGGATGGATGGACGGATGGATGGACAGATGGATGGATGACGGACGGCTGGATGATGGATGGATGGATGGATGGACAGATGGATGGCATTTGCTGCCAAACCAGTTTCTCTTCCCAGACGGAACGACTCTGATGCAAAGGTCTGAGTCTTTTTGTCGACAGGAGTTTGAGCTTTCTGAGCAGAAGGATGTTCCCAGCAGACGAGCAGCGGACCAGAAGACTTGCTGTTGGACGTTCCTCCTGCAGGAGAACACAAGCTGAGGGAGACATGTCTTCATGCAAGAAGGAGTTCACAGCAGGAGACATCCAGTGGTTTTTATTTACTGAGGCCTTGTCTTTGGGCACAGATAAATATTGGTCAGAAGTTAGAAATGCAAAGCAGTTGATCATTTATAGCTCTGCACACTCCTGGATGGCTTCAGAAATGGCTGATTTCATCTCTTCTGCTCTGCGTTCTTCAGCAGTCAGCACTGTTTGCATTTCCACACTGAAGTCACCTTCTCCCAGTGAGTCAGATGCTCCTTCAGGTTCCTCAGAGAACACGACCGTCCTAAAGCTGATGATCGGTGGCAAATGAAGGCAGAGTTTTGACCCCATTTTCAGCTGCAGAGAAGTAGAAAAAGATGGAGGTGAAGCTGACAGATGGGAAACAAATGTGGATGAGAGCGGTTCCTCTGAAGAACGCGGCTGAGCCGGCCTCATTGTTTTTCTCAGCTTCACAGTCCCGTCTCGCTGCTGCTGCATGAAAACTGGACCCAAAGTGGTCAGAGTTGGTTTGTTCCACTAACGGCTCCTCCGGAGGACACGTTTTTTGCACATGGGATGAGTGCATGACAACATATTTCCACATGGCTGCTCTGGTTTTAACTCTTCCCACTCCGGCGGCTCCTGGTCCCACACTCATCACAACCCTGACTAATAATCAGAGATCAAGAGCAGAGCGTTTGCAGGAGAAGCCAGAGTTCTCGTCCTCGGCTTGTGAATCAGTTCTGCCTTTGTTTAAGTGAGTTTGATCATCACGAGGCAGAAACGTTTTATCAAATACGTTAAATCTGCAGGCTGTCCAAGGCCGAAGTCAGGGCTGCAGAATGTTTAGACTGCAGACGTTGCCGAGGACGTTTGTGTTTTCAGACCTTAAGCTGAGATATCCGTGGAGCGGGACGTCAGACGATGACGGGTTTTCTGCTTTTGCATTTGAACTTGTAGCAAGCGTTAGGGTTGCCAGTGAGACTGAGCCAAACAGAGGGATCAGAACCAGCTGTGGCACATCCACTTCCTTAAACCTGGGTTTCACTGCTGACCCAGTTTTTATGGTCCAGAATTAAAGAAACTTTTCTTATGAGGCCATGCTTCCACCCTCCAGTGTTTACATGTCTGGTTTTCTTATGACCTACTGGTGAAATCTTTAGTCTGCGTTAAAAAACAGAAAAAGCAGCTTCAGTTTCAGCTTTTCTTTTGTGAATGAAGAAAACTGCATTCTGACACTTTGCCACAAGGTGTCACTAAATCTCCCTGTCATGCAGCAACGACCGGACACCGTGACTTGAGAAGCTTCAGAACATCATCAGGTCAGGTGAGGTAAAGAGGCGAGGCTTCCTTTGTTGTGTTTAGCTTTGTCTCTAACCCTGGAGAGCCCGTACCCAGCATGTTTTAGTGTCTCTGCTCCAACCCGCCTGATTTAATAGTTGAATAATCAGAAGTCTGCTGATCACCTGCTGATTAAACCTAGGTGTGTTGGAGCAGAGAAACTTCTGAAGGTTTTCTTTGCCTCAACACTTCTATCATAGCCTTGCAAACCATAAACAGCCTGGTGACGAACCCAGGTATGGCGCGGTGTGGGGGCCAAAATTAAGACTACTGCCCAGCAGCAGGAGGCTATATACAGTTGTGGTCAGAAGTTTACATACACTTGTAAAAAATATAATATAATGGCTCTACTGAGTGTCCCGTTATTTCTAAAACTCTGATTTTTCTCTGATAGAGTGATTGGAACAGATACTTCTTTGTCACAAAAAACATTCATGAAGTTTGGTTCTTTAATGTCTTTATTATGGGTTAACAGAGAAAAGTGATCACATTTGCTGGGTCACAAATATACATACAGCAACATGAACTAGCAATTTTGGTGACTTAGAAATGTGTCAGTGAACTGAGCTTCATAGCATGGCCTCTTAACTTCTTGTGAGTGATTATGAGTGACTACAGCGGGTGACTTCTCTTAGGCCAGGTAAATAGAGCTCATTGGATACAAACGCCCACAAACGCTACAATGGGAAAGTCAAAGGAGCTCAGCATGGATCTGAAAAAGCAAATTATTGACTTGAACAAGTCAGGAAAGTCACCTGGGGCCATTTCAAAGCAGCTGCAGGTCCCAAGAGCAACAGTGCAAACAACTGTTTGTAAGTATAAGGTGCATGGCACTGTTTCATCACTGCCAAGATCAGGAAGAAAACGCAAGCTATCACCTGCTGCTGAGAGAAAATTGGTCAGGAGGGTAAAGAGTGAACCAAGAATCACCAAAAAGCAGATCTGCCAAGAATTAGAAGCTGCTGGAACACAGGTGTCATTGTCCACAGTCAAACGTGTTTTGCATCTCCATGGACTGAGAGGCTGCCGTGCAAGAAGGAAGCCCTTGCTCCAAAAGCGGCACCTTAAGGCTCGACTGAAGTTTGCTGCTGATCACATGGACAAAGATAAGACCTTCTGGAGGAAAATTCTGTGGTCAGACGAAACAAAAATCGAGCTTTTTGGCCACAATGCCCAGCAATATGTTTGGAGGAGAAAAGGTGAGGCCTTTAACCCCAAGAACACCATGCCTACAGTCAAGCATGGTGGTGGGAATATTATGCTGTGGGGCTGTTTTGCTGCCAATGGAACTGGTGCTTTACAGAGAGTAAATGGGATAATGAAGAAGGAGGATTACCTTCACATTTTTCAACATAACCTAAAATCATCAGCACGAAGGTTGGGTCTTGGGCGCAGTTGGGTGTTCCAACAGGACAATGACCCCAAACACACATCAAAAGTGCTAAAGGAATGGCTAAATCAGGCTAGAATAAGGGTTTTAGAATGGCCTTCCCAAAGTCCTGACTTAAACCCCATTGAAAACATGTGGACAGTGCTGAAGAAACAAGTCCATGTCAGAAAGCCATCAAATTTAACTGAACTTCACCAATTCTGTCAAGAGGAGTGGTCAAAGATTCAACCAGAAGCTTGTGGATGGCTACCAAAAGCGCCTGATTGAAGTGAAAATGGCTAAGGGACATGTAACCAAATATTAGCACTGCTGTATGTATATTTGTGACCCAGCAAATGTGATCACTTTTCTCTGTTAACCCATAATAAAGACATTAAAGAACCAAACTTCATGAATGTTTTTGTGACAAAGAAGTATCTGTTCCAATCACTCTATCAGAGAAAAATCAGAGTTTTAGAAATAACGGGACACTCAGTAGAGCCATTATATTATATTTTTTACAAGTGTATGTAAACTTATGACCACAACTGTAGATTCTGAAGCTAACTACTGATCTGATTAATAAGCTGGCGCTGGTAACTGAGAGGCTGGCGCTGCTTACTGAGGAAAAGCACCTTTACCGGCGTTATTACTAGATACGCTAGGGACTAGCAGCCCTCGGCTGGTCATTGACTGGTTCCCTCTGCTGTCTATTAGCATGGATAGGCTAGCGTTAGCCTGGACGGGCTGGTGTTAGCATCGGAGAAGCTAGCCATTAGCGTGCCTAGGCATGCCACTAGCTGGATTTCCTACCCCCTTGACGGACCATTAGCATGGACAGGCTGGCGTTAGCATCGGAGAAGCTAGCCATTAGCGTGCCTGGGCATGCCACTAGCTGGATTTCCTACCCCCTTGATGGACCTTAAGTATGGATAGGCTGGCATTAGTATCGGAGAGGCTAGCCATTAGCATGTCTCGGAGAGTCACTAGTCAGCTAGTGGCCAGCCTCTCCGATGCTAACGCCAGCCTGTCCATGCTAATGGTCCGTCAAGGGGGTAGGAAATCCAGCTAGTGGCCAGCATAGGCACGCTAATGGCTAGCCTCTCCAATGCTAACACCAGCCCGTCCAGGCTAACACTAGCCTATCCATGCTAATAGACAGCAGAGGGAGTGTGTGAACCAGTCAATGACCAGCCGAGGGCTGCTAGTCCCCAGCGTATCTAGTAATAACACCGGTAAAGGTGCTATTCCTCAGTTAGCAGTGCCAGCCTCAGTTTCCGGTGCCAGATTATCATAAATCAGGTCGGTAGTTTGCTTCAGAATTTATATAGCCTCCTGCTGCTGGGCAGTAGTCTTAATTTTGGCCCTCATACCGCGCCATACCCATAGACATCGCAGAAGAAGAAGACACAAATACATCCTTTTTCTGCGTAAATGGCATAAGCACCTCTATCTGCTCTTGACTCAAAGAAAAGCCCAAGTCTGAATTGACCAAAGTCGATGCCAAAGCTGTTTTAAACGAGCTGCCTTGTGGCTAAAATGACAATCAGGATTATTTTGACTAAAACTGAGATCTCCGTTACTTAACATGTTAAATCCACTTCAGATATGGCTCGCTGTGTTTTGAATTTTTATTTAGCTTGTTTAACTTCTGGTGTGAGCGAGTGAGCTCCACAGAAAAAGGTTAATGGCTGGTCAGTCGATTTCACATGACTGTGCCGCATGTACACGTCATTCCCCTTCCTAATGTCGGGAAGCAGTGGCGTGTCCAGATCTTTTAAAATGGGGTGGCCCAGGTGAGGCACAACTTTGTGCATGGGTGGCACCAGTGGTTATGCTTTTTTTTGTTTTACCCCCAAGCCTTATGTGGACAATGAAAAGCCGATTTAAAGGTAAATTAGTGTGGTGGCACCTGGGGTGGCCAATCAGATTCCAGGGTTGGCATGTGCTACCCCAGGCCACTCCCTGGACACGCCCCTGTCAGGAAGGATGATCTGGAGCACAGGCTGGGTGTGTTGCTAATCTGCAGGGAATACTGACAACAAAGTTGTGCAGAAAATAGCGAACGGTCATCAGAAATGTGGCCAGGTGCAACTCGGAGCAGCACGACAGTGAACTGTGAGGGAGGAGTAAATAATTCTCTAATTTTGTTTTTATAATCATTCAAAACCCAGATTGTAGTTGAGATTAAAATTAAATTAAACAACCAGCCCTAGAGTCGTCTTCATTGTTCTGATACCTGTTCTTGCTCCTGACGCTCTACAACTTCTTCACCCTGAGCTCGTGTTTCTCCCTCCCCCGACTCGCCCATTCTCTGTCTCCCCCGGTTTGCCCTGAGCTCATCATTCACCTTCTTCTCTCCTCCCCTCCTTCCTCTCGGACGTCTCACTCCCCCTTTCTCCTCCTCCTCTCCTTTTTGCTCTCCTTGCAGAGATCCTGCAGTGTGCTGCCAGTCTCTGAGCTGGAGAGACACTAAAGGAGAAAACTTTTCAAAACTTCGGCTCCTGCTTTTATTCTCTGATTTGTGTTGAACGTGATGGATCTCTGCTCTTTACGGAGAGCTGAAATGCTCTCAGCCTGTTTCTTGACTCTCTTTGGTGAGTGCTTCCCAACGGTCGCTGGTGCATGAGTGCACGTTAACGACACTTGTGATGATTCATACTTACCATTGCCTCTCTCTTCTCCGCGCCTCTCTTCCTGTGCTGGAAGCCACCATCCAAGCCCACAACCTGCTGCTGCCAGGCTCGTGCAACTTCGACTCCAGCACCTGCGGATACACGTCAGACGCAGACTTCACGAGCTGGACCCTGCACAAAGACGGTACTCCAAAGGATGCCAAACTGCATCTTTAATCTCTGCTTTTGTAAAATGCGTTGACTGTAGATGTTAGTAATGAATGTGGATTGAATCTGGGCTCTTTTGATGACATTTCTGGTGCTGGTTTTTGGCCGCACCACTAAAGCTGCCCGGTGAAAAGGTCCATCTGGTCCGCATTGACTCCAGCCCCCCTGAACATCTGGAGTCAGTGAATCAGCACATTTTGGCAACCCCTCGGGGTTGGTACAGCAGCTGATCTATGAATGAGTTCTCTACACACTCGTATCAAAGTTACGTCACCGCCTGTTTGCACGGCGTTGTCAGCCCCAGATGAATGCACGTTAGAGTATTATTACATCATGCCATTGGTGTGATCACTTTGTTACGGAAGCAATGAATCTTCCATTTTTGACACCATCTGTTGTTGAGCACGTGCAAAACAAACCAAAGCCTTGGTGTTCACGCATCCGTCTGCAGATGAATGACTGTTGGTGCACAAGCAGAAGGAACACATCAACTTCACCAGGACGTGAAGTAGCGGCTGGCCTCTAGACGAGAGCTTAACGGTATAATGTCTGCAGCGGCCTCATCCTGACTGATGTGCAGGAATCACAATAAACGATGAATGACTCTGCTAACGTACCGACGTGATTACAGACGCACACACGGCCAAGTGGAAACACCAGTCCAGCATTTGCAGGGACACCCGTACGAATGGACAGTTTAAAGAAAGTCTGACACAAACTTTGAACGTTAAAGCCAGAGTCTTTAAAGTGTTGCTTTCCAACCCTGACCCTCGTGAGCTCCTATCCAGCATGTTTTAGATGTTTCTCTGCTTCAACACACCTGGTTTAGGGTGGTGCATCAGCAGCTCGTCAAGCTCAGCTTCTGTTTCTACGGCTAGATTGTGATTTTTTAGTAGATATTCTATTCAGTAAGAAATCGTCTGTATTGTCTGCGTCTGAGTGAATTGGGATGCAGCCTTGTTGATGGTTTTCCTGTATAACTCGTCGGTTGTTGCCAAAGGTGTGACCAAGTCACTGCTTTGCAAGTCACAAGTAAGTCACAAGTCTTTCCAGTCAAGTCTCGAGTCAAGTCCAAGACAAAGACAGCCAAGTCCAAGTCAAGTCCAAGTCCTTAAATTTGAATTTTCAAGTCATATTCAAGTCATCTGTCCAACTTCTATTTAATGACGATGATAATAAATAAATTCCAGAAATAAAGCTTCTTAAAGTTAATTTATTTGTTCAAACAAGCAGAAACTGATTCTAAACAAGGTGCTGCTGCATTTAGCAGAACAAGGTCAAACCCAGAGCGAAGAGTTATTCTCGATTCATGTCCAGGTCGTGCCACTTTTGTTTTAAAATATCAAATATGCTCAAGTCATCATCAAGTCAACAGATGCAAGTCGATTCAAGTCGCAAGTCATTGGCGTTCAAGCCCGAGTCAAGTCGTAAGTCTTTATAAAGTCAAGTCAGAAGTCATTAAAATGAAGACTCTAGTCTGACTCAAGTCCAAGTCTTGTGACTTGCGTCCACACCTCTGGTCGTTGCGATAAAAATGTTCAGTTGTTTAGGAGACACACATATATCGTGTTATCTGAGAAGTGAAACGAAGTTTATAGGATGTACAGAAAGTGTGCAATAATCGTGCAAACAAAATTAGACAGGTGCACAAATGTGGGCATTGTCATTTTATCGCAAATTCCAAAACTTTTAGAACAAATTATTGGAACTCAGAACTGGTTTTGTACCCTCAGTAACCCTTGACCTCCATACGCAGTTATGAGAAAGAGTATTTAAGTGCAAGATTCCCTCCTCTTTGAATATTATCTGAAGAGTAGCAACATGGAGGCCTCAAATCAACTCTCACATGACGTGAAAACAAAGGTTGTTCACCTGTAACAGCCATGGAGCTCACGGAACAGCTGTGAGAAAACGACTCGTTTGTTTAGAAAATGGGCTGCAGTACCCACCTCTGACCACAGGATGTCGTTCTTACTTCATTCCTGCACAATGCTCCTCTACATGTAGCATCACAAATACAGCGAACAGGAAACACCATAGACAGTGTTCTGAGTAAAAAGGTTATCAGGTCAGGTCATTGTGACCAGCAAACCTCACACCCCATCATCTCATCAGCTAGATTAACGAAGCTCTTTGACTGATGATGTAGACTTTCCCTGCTGCTCTTCCAGATTGTTACAATCCCAAAAACACTGTTGGAAAACTTTCTCATGAAAGGTTTTTCCCCTAACCACAAGCATTGCTCACACTGAGAAGTGGCCTGCTGCAGCAGCGTGTCTCATCCATCAGAAACTTCCCCTCCGCTGTTTCCTCCCTCGTCCTCGTTAAAAAGCTCGGAGCAGCTGCTTTAATTGAGCTCGTTTCTCCTGGGTTTATTCTTCTCTCAGCCTGTTTTACTAAAACAAAGTGAAGTCATGCTGATCACATTCAAGGACTTTTAACGTTTTCTCAAGACGGCGATTTTAGTCCTTGTTTAGGCTTATGGACAAAAATGTAACGTGAGTTTGTTGCTGCTGTCGGCTTGGACCTGAAAGTCAGGATGGACCGTTTGGAGCCCTCAGGGATGCAGAGCATTCCACTGGGATGAATAATAAATGACAGACCAATAAAACCCCCGAAGCAAAGACCTGAACCAAGTCAGAGATATTTGACTTTGGCTGTAAATCCTGAGCTGATTTCCTCTCAGTTTGGTCTCAGAGATTCTAATACAAACGGCACCTTTTTTCACTGAAACTCTGTTTGTTTTTGTCTTTTTAAAGTAAAAAAAAAACAAGTTTGGAAGATGGTGGATGTGCTGTCGGCTCCAGGGTTCGAATCAGAACAGTTACCGCATCTTCTTAAATTTTATTAATTGTGTCAGCTTTTTATTTCCTAATTTTTTTATCAGCATATTTGCCTCAAATCACAAAATTAATGCTAAGGATGAAAGAAAGGCTCCACAATCTGAAAAATATCTGCTAACAGTTTCCAGTTCACCTTAGACACAACTAAAGAAACCCTCTTCTTTGCAATGCTGAGTTTCTTTCAAACTTTAAATCATGCCACGTTTATTTAATTAACTCACAAGTTAACTCACTCCACCTTAAAGAGTTGATCCACCCAGAATTAAAATTTTATCTGTTGACATATTTCCCCTCCTCCTTGGACCGTCACCTTATCGTGGCGGAGGAGTTTGAGTGCCCTAATGATCCTAGGAGCTAGGTTGTCTGGGGCACTTTGTGCTCCTGGTAGGGTCTCCCATGACAAATGGGTCTTAGGTGAAGGGTGAGACAAAGAACGGTTCAGAGGATCTTTCATGGATGTACAATCGAAGAGTCGGAGTACCTGGCCCAGAGGGTTACCGGGGTCCCACCCTGGAGCCAGGCCTGGGGTTGGGGCCCGTGGGCGAGCGCCTGGTGGCCGGGCTTTCGCCCATGGGGCTCGGCCGGGCCCAGCCCGAACCGGATACATGGACTCATCCAACTGTGGACCCACCACCCGCAGGAGGAACATGAAGGGTCCGGTGCAGTGTGGATCGGGTGGCAGACCAAGGTGGGAGCCTTGGCCGTCCGATCCCCAGACAAGGAAACTGGTTATTGGGACATGGAACGTCACATCGCTGGCGGGGAAGGAGCAGGAGCTTGTGGCAGAGGTTGAGCGGTACCGGCTAGATATAGTCGGACTCACCTCGACACAAAGCATTGGCTCTGGAACCCAAGTCCTTGAGAGGGGGTGGACACTCTCCTTTGCTGGAGTTGCACCAGGTGAGAGGCTGGGGTTGGCTTTTTGTTAGCCCCAAGACTCTCTGCCTGTGTGTTGGGGTTTACCCCGGGGGACGAGAGGGTAGCTTCCCTGCGCCTTCGGGTCGCGGAATGGGTCCTGACTGTTTTTTGTGCTTATGGGCCAAATATCAGTTCAGAGTACCCACCCTTTTTGGAGTCCCTGGGACGAGTGCTAGATAGTACTCCATCAGGGGACTCCATTGTCCTGCTGGGGGACTTCAATGCTCACGTGGGCAATGACAGCTTGACCTGGAGGGTTGTGATTGGGAGGAACGGCCTGCCTGATCTGAACTCGAGTGGTGTTTCATTATTGGACTTCTGTGCAAGCCACAGTTTGGCCATAACGAACACCATGTTCGAACATAAGGATGCCCATCAGTACACTTGGTACCAGGGCAGCCTAGGTCGCAGGTCGATGATAGACTTTGTAGTCGTATCATCTGACCTGCGGCAGTATGTTTTGGACACCCGAGTGAAGAGAGGAGCAGAGCTGTCAACTGATCACCACCTGGTGGTGAGTTGAATCAGATGGCAGTGGAAGATGCCGCGTAGACCTGGCAGACCCAAACACATAGTGAGGGTCTGCTGGGAACACCTGGCAGAAGAACCTGTCAAGACGGTCTTCAACTCCCACCTCCGGCAGAGCTTTGACCGCATCCCGAGAGCAGTGGGGGACATTGACTCCGAGTGGGCCTTGTTCCACTCTGCGATTGTTGAGGCAGCTGTTGCTAGCTTTGGTCGCAAGGTGGCCGGTGCCATTCGTGGTGGCAACCCCCGTACCCGCTGGTGGACACCAGAGGTTCGGGGAGCCGTCAGGCTGAAGAAGGAGGCCTACAGGGCGTGGCTGGTCTGTGGGTCTCCTGAGGCAGCAGACAGGTACCAGATAGCCAAGCAGGGTGCAGCGGTGGCAGTTGCCGAAGCAAAATCTCGGGTGTGGGAGGAGTTTGGTGAGGCCATGGAGAAAGACTATCGATCGGCTCCAAAGAGGTTCTGGAAAACTGTCCAGTGCCTCAGGAGAGGGAGGTAGCAACTCGCTCACACTGTTTACAGTGGGGATGGGGAGCTGCTGACATCAACTGGGGCTATAGTTGGGTGGTGGAAGGAATACTTTGAGGAGCTCCTCAATCCCACCTACGCGCATTCCGAGGAGGAACCAGAGCCGAGAGACCTGGGGATGGACTGTCCAATCTCGGGGGCAGAAGTTGCTGAGGTAGGAGCCCCAGAGGTGGATGAGATTCGTCCTGGGTATCTCAAGGCTATGGATGTGGTAGAGCTGTCGTGGTTGACACGTCTCTGCAACATTACGTGGGCATTGGGGGCAGTGCCTGTGGAGTGGCAGACCGGGGTGGTGGTCCCCATCTTTAAGAAGGGTGACCTGAGGGTGTGTTCCAACTATAGAGGGATCACACTCCTCAGCCTTCCTTGAAAGGTCTACTCCAAGGTACTGGAGAGAAGAGTCTGATCGATAGTTGAATCTCAGATTGAGGAGGAGCAATGTGGTTTTCATCCTGGCCGTGGAACTGTGGACCAGCTCTATACCCTTGCAAGGGTGATGGAGGGGGCATGAGAGTTTGCCCAACCAATCCACATGTGTTTTGTGGATTTGGAGAAGGCTTATGACCGTGTCCCCAGGGACACCCTGTGGGGGACGCTCCAGGAGTATGGGGTGAGTGGCTTTCTGTTAAGGGCCATTCAGTCCCTTTACCAGAGGAGCGTGAGTTTGGTCCGCATAGCCGGTAGTAAGTCGGACCTGTTCCCGGTGAGGGTTGGACTCTGCCAGGGCTCCCCTTTGTCACCGGTTCTGTTCATTACCTTTATGGAAAGAATTTCTAGGCGCAGCCGTGGTGTGGAGTGTGTCAAGTTTGTTGGCAGGAGAATCTCGTCTCTGCATAGGTAGGTTCGCGGCCGAGTGTGAAGCGGCTGGGATGAGGATCAGCACCTCCAAATCTGAGACCATGGTTCTCGAACGGAAAAGGGTGACTTGCCAACTCTGGGTCGGGAGAGAGGTCCTACCTCAAGTGGAGGAGTTTTAATATCTCGGGGTCTTGTTCACGAGTGAGGGTAGGAGGGATCGGGAGATCGACAGGCGGATTGGTTCAGCATCTGCAGTGATGCGGACACTGAGCCGATCTGTCATGGTGAAGAGGGAGCTGAGCCAGAAAGCCAGGCTCTCGATTTACCGGTCGATCTACGTCCCAATCCTCACCTTTGGTCATGAGCTTTGGGTAATGACCGAAAGAACGAGATCGCGGATACAAGCGGCCGAAATGAGTTTCCTCCGTAGGGTGGCCGGGCTCAGCCTTAGAGATAGGGTGAGGAGCTCGGACATTCGGGAGGGACTCGGACTAGAATCGCTGCTCCTCCGGATCGAAAGGAGTCAGTTGAGGTGGTTTGGGCATCTGGTCAGGATGCCTCCTGGACGCCTCCCCGGGGAGGTGTTTCGGGCATGTCCTGCTGGCAGGAGGCCCCCGGGTCCGGGTCGACCCAGGACACGTTGGAGAGGTTACATCTCCAATCTGGTCTGGAAACGCCTTGGGGTCCTGCCGGAGGAGCTGGTGGAGGTGGCCGGGGAGAGGACGGTCTGGAGCTCCCTAGTTGGGATGCTGCCCCTGCGACCCGGACCCGGATAAGCGGAGGAAGACGACAACGACGACATATTTCCCAGAGTTAGATAAGTGGAAAAAAAATAAATCCATTTTAAACCAACCCATTCTACTGACCCAGCTGTACCCCATTAGCTTTAGCTTAGCATAGAACACAGTAAGTGAATGGATCCAACTATTATTGTGAGTAAATACGTCCATAAAATCACTCAGTGGTGATCCCAGTTCTGCTTGGTGACTTAAATAATCAGACTGACTGCAAATGAAAATAATTAGTAACATAAAGCTATCACAGGCGCCTTTTTAGACTTCAGAATACTTTATGAAAGCAGATGAGCCTCTGCTGAAAGGTGCAAGGCACCTTCTTCTGCAGATGCAGATGCACTCGTTAGCGAACCGGCACAAAAACGCGTTATTCCACCTTAACTGTTGCTTTAGGAGTGTGGTTGCTCTGCTAGATTATAACTCTACTCCTTTAAAGACAAGTTAAACGCATATGCAATCAATCAATCAATCAATCAATCAATCAATCAATCAATCAATCAAAGCTTTATTTATAAAGCGCCTTCTGCAACCCTGTCGGGAAGCCCAAGGTGGTCTCTAGTCTGCCTCTGAAGGGCAAAAGCTCTGGCGCTCCTGTTTCAGGAGTAGAAGTGAGCCAGAGCAGTGGAGCGCTTCAGATGACAGGGTTTGGAATCTTACTTCTTGATATTTGGACATCTCTCCTCTGATTGGCTAACAGCAACACGACTCTACCTCTGACTCTGTTTTTTCTGCAACGTTGATGTTTTACCTCCACAAATAACACAAGCCTGGAGGAGTTCTGCTGTGTGGTGGAGTTGCTAACGCTAATGGTTAGCTATTTCTAGCGGAGATGTTCTCTGCAGTGGCGTCTCCAGAAATGTTTTACTGCAGGTGCTATGAAGGAGCTAGTCTTTTTATTGAGGGTGCTATAAAAGAAGTGTGTACCTATTGTTCTCTAAAACACCTTCAGCACTAGCAGATACACATGCGTGCACAACACCTCAACAACACCTGAAACAATAATTAATATACATCATAAACATATCAACAATCGCTGACTTTTCCATGAAATCATAAACACATACAGCCACACAGAAAACCATCTATAGTGTTGCAAGGTTCGCTAACGTTAGAGTTAGCATTTCCAGCGGCTAAACCCTGGACTGCCGCGGCGGTTGAGGGTTGACTCTCTTCATCCAGATCCATAGGTTTTTGTGGATCTGAGATCACTTCCAAACATTCATTCATTTCTGACTGAACTCGTGGAAATTTGGGCAACAAAAACCGATCCATTTCACCACTAGCTCTACCTTTCACTCGTTCACAGGTGGAAAATGAGGTCAAAGGTTAACATGAATGTCCTGTTTTGGTTTAAGTTTTTACGATCTTTATGATAATTGACTCCGGCTTCCTCCCACAGTCCAAAAACATGACTGTTAGGTTAATTGGTCCGTCTAAATTGTCCTTAGATGTGTGTGTGTGTGTGTGTGTGTGTGCGTGCGTGCGTGCGTGCGTGCGTGCGTGTGTGTGTGTGTGTGTGTGTGTGTGTGTGTGCGTGCGTGCGTGCGTGTGTGTGTGCGTGCGTGTGTGTGTGTGTGTGTGTGTGTATGATTGTTTGTCCTGTGTATCTCTGTGTTGCCCTGCGATGGACTGGCTCTTTGTCCAGGGTGTACCCCGCCTGATTGCCCGTTGACTGCTGGAGATAGGCACCAGCCCCCCCGCAACCCTACATGGACAAAGCGGGTTCAGACAATGGATGGATGGATGGATGATAATTTACTGATTATTTTTGTTTTGTATGTTAAATATTATCACATCCACACTTTAAATAAAAATTAAATTGTAAAAAAAATCTAATATTTACTTGGGGGTGCAATGACTAATCCAGGGGTAGCTATAGCGCCCCCTTGCGCCCCTGGTGCCAGCACTGGTTCTCTGCTGTTTCCTGCACGCTAAACCAGCAACAGTCTTAAGATAACTTAAGATAGGCAAAACCACAAATTCTAATTTTTAATTTTCACTGATTTTATTCAAATCCAGAAAGTTTCATTCTAATCGGATCCAAGTGTATTTTTTTTTACATATTTAGGAAGTTTTTGACTATTGGAAAACTCTAAATGACCTTTCTTCAGACTTTTGGTCTCTGATATGGACCTTTACAGTTTTTTCAGTGTGAACTTTGACCTTCCCCTCTGGTCTGACCTCTGAGTTTTGGTGGTTTACTGTATCTTGGCTGATTCATATCCATCCCTGTAGATCAGTGGTACTCAATAGGCGGCCCGCGGACCACGTCCGGCCCTCTTGCTTTTGGGTCTTTTGTGTGAGTGGCCCTCAGACCATTGTAATTAAGGACCCCTGCTGTAGATGATTGTGAACGTGTTGAATTGTAACGATGTGAAGTGTTTATATGCGTCCCTCTTGTCTGTTCAGGACATTTTGTTGCTATGGAAACAGCCGTGAACGACGACCTGGAGGGAGGCTCGGGTTCTGGGATCGAACCGGCCAGAGAAGTCACAGGAATTCTGGTCAGCCCGTCTCTGGAGCACGACGAGTGGAGCTGCCTAAGACTTGTCTACCAGATCACGGACTCGGGTCACCTGGAGGTTCTGCGGCGATCCGAGGGAAGGAGCTTCGACCAGCCGTTGTGGAGCAGCCAGGCGCCGTCCGACAGCTGGGTCGTCGCCAGCATGGATCTGCAGAACAGCACAGAGCCATTCAGGGTAAATCAGCCTTTAAATAAAGCATCATACAAATAATGAAAATCCCAGCGGGGTTGTGATAAACGTCGTAACAGGACATGCTGCCTGAAACATCAACGTCTAAATAATAAGGTCTGGTAAAATACCTAAATGCTGCTACAAAAGCGGCAAACAAAGTGAGAAGAGAGCCCTGCTCAACAGAAATGTTAATGCTGTTAGTGGCTCTTTCAGGTCTCCGTGGTAACCACACACCTGTCTTTCTCAGACAGGAGCTAGGAAGTCCCCATGCAAAGAGCTGCTGTGTGAGAAGGGGAAGTTATTTTGAAAGTGAGCAGCAGACGGCTCTGACGGACACACGTGGGATTGATTTTTTATATTCCTACAGTTTTCATGTGGGAGATCTAACAGGAGGAAAAGACCCTTCACCTCCAGGTTGGATGATAACGTTCAGGCCAAAAAGCATCAGTCTCACAGCAGTGAGACACAGCAGGGGGAGGAAGACTAAAACACCCGTTTAGAAGTATAATTTGTACATATGTTAATCCCGTTCCCCATGGGTTAATCCCGTTAATCCCGTTCCCCATGGGTTAATCTGTCCCGAGACCTGCTGGACAGATCTTCGGTCCATCACAGAGACAATTTAGAGTCTCCACTTAACCGAACATGTATGTTTTAGTCTGAGGGAGGAAACAAGAACATGTTAAGTCCACGCAGGAATGCTGTAGCTGGGATTCAAACCTGCAACCTTCTCACTGCAAGGCAGCAATGCTACCAACAACACCATAAGCAGCAAAACGTTACTACTTCAGAAGAATCGCCTGCATCCAGACACATCATTTAGTCACCGAGGCCCCGTCCACTTGTAGCCAGATGTGTCACAAAACAAGATATCGTTCCACGTTTGGCCCGTTGTCCACACGGAAGTGAGGACGCACGCCACGGAAAATGATTCTTTCAGAAACCTAAATCCAAGTTGAGATTTGTGATTGTCCATTGTCAGCATTTGTGGACAAAAAGTTTAGGTTTCACGGCTTCACTGCCTGAAACCAAAATGCTGTGACATCACACACACGACCAGCGTTTACACACCCGCCGCAATGAAACCCGTAAATCCCATCATCACACATCTCGTCACTCCAGGAAAATACAAAAATAGAGCTGAGAGCAGAGCTGCGAGGGTCAGCCGATGATTGAGACCAAAAACTATGAAACGATGTAGCTACAAGCTAACTGAGCTAACCGAAGCTAACTGAAGCTAACGGAGTTTGACGAACACTTTCATCTAGAAAATTTGTTTGAGCGACTCGGCCACCCTCTTCCTTCTAGACTGTGACACTTTTAACGTGAGGCCGAGGCTGACGCCTTCGCTGGAGCTAGTGGGGGGGGAGCCGCGACTACCTGTCAATCAAAAGGACACGCCCCTAATTATTCATAATTTCAAGGCTTATTTACATCTAAATAGGTGAGTTACATTCTCAGAGATGTCACGACGGTAAACCTGACCCACTAAACTGGAAATGTTGTTTGAATCAGGCTGTAAACATGTTTAATTTCGCTGTGAAGCTAGCAGGTTTAACATGGGAGTCGATGAGGATTTGCTCCTTTCTGGAGCCAGCCCCTAGTGGAAGAGGGGGGAACTACCAGGGGCGCCTCCAGAAAATTTTGATGGGGTGGCCAGACGGTGCCAAAGAAATTTTTGGGGTGGCACACCAAATTGGTCCTTGTGGTAACTCTGGGAGAATTTAACCTGTGGCGATGTGCTGCATTGCACCTTTGTTCATTTTTATTAAAATAACAGTATGATACCAAAATGTTTAACTTAAAATTTACAAACGCAAACATTTTAGAAAAATACATTTCATTTATTTAAAATGTTACCCCAAATTTAATTAAAACATTTTTTAGGTTTATTCACCTGCGTTGCTGTGTTCACAATAAATAAATAACTATGGAAATAAAAACTTGTTTAAAATGGTGAACAGCAGAAACATATGTATATTTTTTATTCTGATTATTTCTTTAATCATGAATTATAATATTTTTATTTTGTTTTGCATAAACAAGATTTATATATGGTTTGACTGGACATTAATATGATTTGTTAACACTGGCTTTTCCTTGGGGGGGAGGGGGGGCAGCAATTTTCCTGGCCACCCCTTGGGGGCGCCCTTGGGAACTGCACTTTTACGTTGCTTCACCTTTGACATGCATGGTTTATGTTAGTTTACAATCTCACTCACTGCTCCATGTAGACCACAGGCAACGGCCGACGGTGGTCACCTGCCACTTTGTTATTCCACGTCTAAGGAACGTTTTTCTCCAAAGACACTGATGATTTGGGAAACGACAACCCCGTGTGGACTCGGCATGCCTATGAACGTGCTTCACAAGGCACTGGATCATTTAGCTAAAACGAGGCGCTGTGGGCCCATGTTTATTTCTTAGATGGGTGGGGGAATTCACAAAAACCTGTCTATGTGCGCACGTGGCATTAGATGAAGTCAACAACATGAATGAGGTTGTAACAAGGATCCATTTAGAGTCTCCCTGCAGGAGCATGAAGCTGAAAACGCCTCCGCCTGTCGCCGAGAGGACAGATATGGGTCGGCGTTACACACAGGCTCTAAATTTAGGCCAACGTGAAGTGCTTTTATCATCACATAAACACTGCAGCTCGTGTTTATGTGATGTGCCGAGGCCGGACCGACTCTTGACGGGATCAGGACCAACATGATGAGGTGCCAGGCCTGCACCATGTGTGGTCCCCCCCACACATAAACACTTGAGCAGAGACAAAAGAGGACAGAAATAAGGTGTCGGCGCTGGAGAAATCCCACACCAACCTGCATTTCTTGTGTGTTTAACCCTTTGACCTTTCATTCCTGTGTGCGTCCTGTGCCTCTTGTTTGACACTCCCTCACATGTGTTGTTCATCAGATCGTCATCGAAGGTAAAGCGGGAGCGAGTCCGGAGAGCAGCGTGGCCATCTTTGAGATCCACATCAGGCCCGGATACTGCCTGGGTCGGTACAGTTATTAATGTCCTAAATAAATCTGCACACACACACACACACACACACACACACACACACACACGCACACGCAGGCACGCTCGCACACACACACACACACACACGCACGCACATACACACGTGCGCGCACGCACGCACACACACACACACACGCACGCACGCACACACACATGCACGTATGCACAAAAGCACGCACACACACATGAGCACGCATCCAAGCACACACACACACACATGCCCGCCTGCACACACACACACACACACACACGCGCGCACACGCATGCACGCACGCATTCACACACACGCACGCACACACACACACACACACAGGCACACACACACATACACGCACGCACGCACGCACGCACACACACACACACACACACACACACACACACTCAGGCACACACACACATACACGCACACACACACACACACACACACGCACGCACACACGCACACACACACACACACACACGCACGCACATACACACATACACACACGCACGCACGCATCCACACACACACGCACACACACACACGCATGCACACACACACGCACACACACGCACACACACAGGCACACACACACATACACGCACGCACGCACGCACACACACACACACACACACACACACACACGCACGCACGCACGCGCACACACACACGGATTATCTGGGTGTTTCCAGGGTTTAAAATAAAGGAATTGGGTGGGAACCGCAGATCTGATTGAATATTTGTGTCTTTACGAGTCCTGCAGCTCGTTGACGGTCTTCTCTGATGTCCAGAGTGTGATTTTGAGGAGCCTCACATGTGTGGCTACTACAACCAGTGGAACGTCAATGTGAACTGGTATGTGGGTGGAGGGCGGGTCCACCAGCTCCACAACAACATGCCAAATGACCACACCTACCAAAACAAGACCGGTGAGTGTGATCGCCGCTTTCGTCGCAGGTTTTACTGCATAAATGTGTTTTAAGATCAAAGTCGCTGCTAAGTGATGTCATTAAATGTTGCCATGACTTTTATTCCCCAGAAATATTAAGGTGGCTAAAAGACGCCACGCTGCAGGGTTACGGGTCTAATGTTACGAATGCTGCCTCGTGATTCTCCCTGAACGAGAACAAAACCAGAAACCCGTTCCTCATGAGGCCCGTTTCCACTGTCAGAACCTCGGTGTAATTTTACCGGACTTTCTCGGCATGCATGTCTCCATTTTACCGGGCCGTTTCAGGAACCAACCAAGTACCTGCATTGGGGTTCGTACTTGGAAATGACCCGGTAGAGTCGCTGGGCGGGGCTTGTGGTTAACTCATGCTGATTGGTTGTTGCTCAGTGGGAAATTACACCAGGAGACGTCCCCAAACAACCATCATTTGTAAACCTGGAAGGGATCCTGGTGAAACGGAATGTTCACGCTGCTGTAAAAGCACGTCCAACACCTTCAAACATGTCTGAAATCTCCCGACAACGCCGTAATGTTGTGTGCTTTGTGGTCTCACTGCACTTCTTCTGGTCATTGATGTTGCAGTGTTGATGCTCAGGGGAGGCTCTGCTTTGGATGCTGGCGGAGCAGCAGCTCTACTCCAAGCCCCTCCCACATATCTGAGCTCCTCACTTCATAGCAGCCAATCACGGGATAGGTAGGCGTGGCCAGAAACAGCTCAGGAGGTTGAGCGGGTTGCCCGATAATCAAAAGGTTGCAGGTTCGATCCTGGCTCCGGTCAGAGAATGCTGCTGTTGTGTCCTTGGGCAAGACAATTAACCCGCCTCACCGGTTGGTGGTGGTCGGAGGGACCGGTGGCGCCTGTGTTCTGCAGCATCGCCTCTGTCCGTGCACCCCAGGGCAGCTGCGGCTACATCGTAGCTTCAGTGTGTGAATGAGTGATTGTGTTGTGAAGTGCCTTGGGGGGTTGTAGAACCCTTAGAAGGCGCTAAACAAACACGGTACATTTACCATTTATTTGAATTAAATGACAGAGGTGATTGCAGAAGGTACCGACATCGCTTAATGTGAGGGATAAATGACGTCATGTTTAGCTCAAACCACAGAACCATTAGAACCTGTTTAGACTGTGTACCATTTAAAGAGCAAGTCACCCCCTACCAGACTCTTACTCAACTCCCACTTCCTGTTTGAAAAATGCAACAAATGCTGTTGCCTAGCAGACCGAGAGGGTGGAGCCGCTAACAAATACACACACACACACAGGCTCACAATGACATTGTGACATCATATGTTAGCAGCTAATGTTCTAGGGTACCTCTTAGCCAATAACGATGGCAGATTTATATTCAAATGCAGTGCAGAGTTTTTACCTGACAACGGCACAACACTGTAAAATTTTAGACAGAAAGTTTTAACTAAAATGCACTAAAGTGCTAAACTATTGACTACACGTGTCTGCAGCACGACTAGACACACATTTATATAGTTTATCAGAAAAAAAAGTTGATTTGGGGGTGACTTGCTCTTTAAAGGTTGTGCAGCATTCTTATACGCGTCTCGGGGAAGACACCGTTCAGCACGAGGAAAACAAAGCAGCAGCTTACTGTGGAGCTGAAAGCTGTAAACATGTAATCAGAAGCATCTTCAGGCTGCAGGATAGTCATTAAACGCTGAGGAAAGGGTTAGCTGAAACCACGACAGCCTGAGGTCTGTGCTGCTCTTTGGACCTCCTGGTTGTGAAAACCTTCCTCAGGTCAGTTCATGTACGTGGACTCCGGCTACGTCAAAACCTTCAAAGAGGTCGCCAAACTGATCTCCTCTCTGACGACGGTGCCGATGTCCGGCTGCCTGAGCTTCCAGTACCAACGCAGCGAGGAGGAGGGAAACCTGTTCTCGGTGTACACCCGGGACCGCCTGGGTCAGTATCAGGAGCTGTGGCGGGCCGGGACGGAGAGCCAGGAGGACTACAGCGCCACTCTCGGGGAGTGGATACCTGTGCAGGTGGACCTGAAGGCGCCGTACTCAGTGCAGGTCAGTCTGGACCGTGTCAAAAGGCCACATGGTGACCTTTACTTTGTGCATCTGTGTGACCCTCATGGTGACCCTTCAGGTGGTGTTTGAAGTGGCGTTCAACAGTCAGAGAGGTGGACGTGTGGCCGTTGATGACATCACCTTTACTCCAGAGTTTTGCGGCACAGAAACAGGTAAGCTGCCGTCTGATGTGTCTGTTAACCGCGTGTATTCAAGTAAAATGACATGCTGATTTACGTCCTTAGAGCCAACCTTTGACCCCTCCATCGCCAGCTGTGACTTTGAGTCCGGTTTCTGCTTCTACACTCAGGATCGGGTCGTCGGGTCGTCGTGGAGGAGAGTCTCGGTGAAGCCGAACATATTCAGGAATGGAGACCACACCACGGGGGCAGGTGGGATTACTTCAGCGAAACACACAAAATGACCCAAAACCTGAGAGCAGGATGAAGAAAATGACCAGCATGAACTAGGGATGCATCGTGTATCGGTACGATAAGTAGAACTGGGCCGATATGAACAACCGATGTTTATTTCCATCTAGTTGTTGTTTGTTGGGGGGGGGGGGGGGGGGGGGTGTCATGTGACAGTGATAGTGACCAATGTGCGTATTACAGGAATCTTAAAGAGCAAGTCACCCCCAAATCAACTATTTTTTCCTGATAAACTATATAAATGTGTGTCTAGTCGTGCTGCAGACACGTGTAGTCAACAGTTTTGCACTTTAGTGCATTTTAGTTAAAATTTTTATTTTCTGCCTAAAACTGTCAGTGTTGTGCCGTTGTCAGGTAAAAACTCTGCACCGCATTTGAATTTAAATCTGCCATCGCTATTGGCTAAGAGGTACCCTACAACGTTCGCTGGTACCATATGATGTCACAATGTCGTTGTGAGCTGTGTGTGTATGTGTGTGTGTACTTGTTAGCAGCTCCGTCCTCTCGGTCTGCTAGGCAACAGCATTTGTTGCATTTTTCAAACAGGAAGTGGGAGCGGAGTAAGAATCTGGTAAGGGGTAACTTGCTCTTTAACATAAGTTTCCTGGTTCCCTACTGGTTGAAAGTTCAATTACAACTGCTGTAAAAAACCCTGGAGCAGCCTGCTGTAGCTAGCACTAACAATGAGCTAGCGCTAACACAACCCAACTGATCCTCAAATAAACCACCAAGTAAAAAAATATTACTTATATGTCCAGCAGCAACAAAGCCAGGTCACTATCAGTTTGTGATTTTAGCCTCTTTTAGCTCCCTCAATCAAATGTAGGCCCCTCTGATATTCACTCTGGTTTGCCTCTTACTTCTACTTTGAAGCTCCACCATGATGTAAAAAAAAAAAAACACTTCTTGTGTTTTGTGTCAGTGAACTGAAACAGCTAACTGCTAGCCTTTAAATGAACGACCAGCACAGAAAACAGCTTTTGCTGTAAAGCTGGTCAAGACCTCCCACTAGCGTTCCTATCGGAACCACAAAACTGTTCAGTGCGGTTTCTGGTCAGCAGAGGGCAGCAGGGTGCTGTTAAATGTGAAGTTGCTCAGGTTTAAAGCCGAGGAACCACTGAAACCAGTTTGAGAGCAAAAACTTAAGTGCTAAAAACTCTAAAATGTTGTTTCAAAATTGGATATCAATATCAGTCTGACGTCTCACATCAGTGCATCCCTAGAAAAACTCTTATCTTCATTATAAGTTGACTAAAATATAAACTTTTATCTTAGTTTAATGTTTTTGTCACAAAGCTAAACAAAAATATCGGATCAGCTACTAATAATCTCATTAAATCACTTCAGTTTCTGCTCATAAGTTTCTCCAAATGTAATAAAATTAGATGTAAAAGTAATATTTTTACTTCATATACAGACGTACTCGTCTATTACATATGAACGTTTAAAATCTAAATTCAGTGAATATTTCATTTTTTTATTTCAAATTTGAACAGATGTCAAACAACGTGGATGTCTGACATCCTTCTGTAGAATTTACTTTTTTAAGTGCAGTATTAATTAAACAGGTTGCACCGTGTCTCTGCAGAAAAACTAAATAAAGTTTTATTTGGTATAGTACCGGAGATTTATGGGATCCGTGCCTTTATTGCTACAAAATAAGTTTGATCTTTTAAAAAAAAACGGGGATAAAATATTCTGTTTCCTGGTTTCTAGAGACCGAAGACTTGGGTTTAACGAAGCTTGTGAAGACTAAACCGTTCATTAGGGTTAGGGTTTGGTGGAGGTGTTTCCACCACCTGTTCAGCTTCTTTTATCTCCTTTATAACCAGTGTTGGGCAAGTTACTTCTAAACTGTAATGCATTATTTATTACTTGTTACTCTCATTTTAAAGTAATTCATTACATTACAATATTACTGATTTTAAAATGTAAGGCATTACACTACTTTTGCATTACTTTAAGTTACTTTCACCAAAACAACTTCAGTATGAATCTGGTCATGTGATGCTCAGTGAGCTCATGACATATATGTGGAAGGTGATGTGGTGTCTGAGCTAGGGTTGCTGTTAAAAACAGTCAGATGTAATAACAGTGCTTTAAAATGATTGTTTATTAAATAAAAACAACAACAATCTTTACTCTCAGCACGCTGCCATCTTATATTAACAGAGCAGGGAGTGAGGTGGTGGGGGCTCCAAGCCTACATTTGCCTTGGTCCCCAAATGCCTTGATACGGCCCTGGATGTGGGACTGACTTCTGATTCTATCACATGTATAAATATTAAATGCTTATATATTATCGCAGGTGAATGACTTTGTTTTGGTGGAGCGGTTTTGTGAATATAAAAGCGGCCGCGCGCATGACGCAGCTGGAGTATTTGAGCCGTTACCGCCGTGTCCGCTCTGCTCATAGAATGCCCGCAAAGCTGAGTTCATAAATGACGTCGTATATGTGGATACTGGATCTTTATTTTGGGCTTCACGCCATTTTAATTTTTAGGAAACCCACATCTTGATTCTGGGTTTAATAATGCATTGTAATCACCGCATTACTGACGATTGTACCGAGTAAATATTACCATTTTCTTTCCCTGTAATGCCTTACATTACCACATTACAGCAAAAAGCAATGCATTACAGTAATTAATTACTTTTGTACCACCTTACTCCCAACACTGCTTATAAACCTGATTTATTGTAACGCCTTCGCTGGACTTGAAGGAAATAAAATAAACGATCAGGTTTCCGAAGAATCAAACCCGTCTTCTCTCTCCAGGATCCTTCCTGTTGGCTCATTCCCGACTGGGCCCGCACTCCGGATACGTTAGCCGTGTGTTCAGTCCAACTCTGCCTGGAAACATGAAGTACTGCCTGAGGTTTTACTTCTCCCTGAGGGGTGAGGCGCATCCTCAAACCCGCCTGCTTGTTTGGATGCTTCTGAGGTTTGGTTCTGATCTGATGGAATCTGATCCGAGACGATAACCCTGCAGGTTTTAACCAGACGGAGCAGGCTTTGGCCGTTTACCTGCTGCAGCAGAGCGGCAAGCAGGAGAAGATCTGGACCCAGTCAGAGAGGTCCAGAGCAATCTGGATCGCAGCGGAAGTCACCTTCCAGACGTCGCTGCCTGCCAAGGTGAGGAGAGTCGGAAAAAAAGAGGAAAAATCAACAATAAAGACGGAGAGGAACTTGAAACGCTTCATTTTCCTGGAGGGGCAACACAGACTAGTCACACATATCCCAGTAAAAACACACCTAGTGAAAATGCACGCACACCCAACTCAAGTTTATCCCTTGAGGTCCACGTGGCAGGGGTGAGGTGGTCCTCACCCCTGCCACGTGGACCTCAAACCATCAATCCTGCTCAATGGTCAACTTTCCTCGCGGGGTCACCCATGAAGACGGTGGGAGGGTTAAATGTTTATGATGCAAGGAAGCCCAGCAGACTGGTAAATGACCTGTTTTTGTATAGCGCCTTCTAACGGTTCTGCAACCCCCCAAGGCGCTTTACAACACAATCAGTCATCCTCACACGTTCCCATGCTGGTAATGACGAGCTACGTCGTAGCCACAGCTGCCATGGGGCGCACCCACAGAGGTGAGGTGGGTTAGGTGTCTTGCCTAAGGACACAGCAGCAGCATTCTCTGGCGGGAGCTGGGATTAAACCTGCAACCTTCTGATTACTGGATGACCTGCCCTACCTTCTGAGATACTGCTGACTTGTGTCAGAGACTTTTCAGCAATCCCCATATTAGGCAAGCGTGTAGCAACCGTGGGGAGAAAAACTCCCCTTAAACGGGAAGACACCTCCACAAGTTCATGGCTCAGTATGAGCAGTCATCCACCTCGAGTCACGACTCACTGGGGTCTGAGAAGACAGAGCAGATTAACTAGTAGTAGTAGTACTAGTAGTAGTACTTTCTATGTTATAGGAAGTAAAAAGTTAAAGGTTTGGGGAACTCGTTTAATAAATATGCTTGCAGTGGTCTCTGATGAATGAATGCCTTGCAAACCATACTCACGCCAAAAAAAATCCCAGAAACGCCCGGATCAGCACGGACAAGTCTGCCACATCAGGGGAGAGCTTCACACGGCAGGAGTTGGACTCTTACTTCCTGATATTTAGACAAATCTGCTCTGATTGGCTGACAGCAACACAACAATGACGCTGTTCTGCAACGCTGATGTTTTAAATAACACAAGCCTGGAGGAGTTCCGCTGTGTGGCTGAATTGCCAGCTAACGGTTTGCTTCTGCTAGCTGAGAGTCCTCTGCTGATTCAGGACGGCCTCTCCCGTCGTGAGCCAGCGTGGGTGAATCTAGAACTGTCAGGCTTTTCTAATCCTAGAGTTTCACCGTCTGCTTTCTATCAGAAGCTACTGCAGGAGACAGATGTAGGAGACTATTTTCATGTTCAGCTTGCATGAAAAACTGGGAGTAAACCATTAGAATCAGAAATAGACATTAAAATTGGTTTCCCAGTGAACCAGACATTTTATATCAGAAGAGTGAGTGTTCAGTGGCAATAGTGTCCCATGCTGAGAATGCTGGAGACCTTCAAGATACCTGGTCCAGGTACCGCGAAGACTGCATTCCCATAGAAACCATGATACTTGTTCTTTTGGACGGTTGATCAGCCACTCTGAGTTGCTGAACATGAAAATGTTCTCCAACCCTCATCGTCTGCATTAGCCAGAAGGGAAACAGGCGGCAAAACAACCGAGTCGGAAAAATCCGGTCTCTTCTACGTCACAAGGAAAATTAGTATTCGTGGCTCCGCCCACCTTAGATTGGGACTGTCCACCCACAGGAAGGAAAGAGCAGAGCGTTCCTTGGCTAGTAGAAGCTAAGAGTTAGCATTAGCTATTCCACAACATGGCGAAACAGTCAGCCAATTTGATGTTAGCCAATCAGAGGCGAGCTGTTTGCATATCATGAATATTAATGAGTGACATTTAATGCTGCTGCCCCTCCTCCCCAAACTCCCACCCGACAGGAACCACATGACAGAACCCGACAGGAGAGTCCGAGCCTTTTCTTCCCACAGAAAACGACTCACAAGGTGTTCGTTCAGAGTAGAGACCAAACACACACACACACACACACACACACACACACACACACACACACACACACACACACACACACACACACACACACACACACACACACAGTGGAAGGAAAGAACAAAGGCAAGACCAGCGAATGGAAACCAGCCCAATCCGTTGGTTTTCTCCTCACCTGAGAACTTCTCATCTTCCTTACCCAGACATCAGTTCTGAACCGTTTGATCTGACTTCCTCCTGACCAGAACCTTGATGGGTTTTAACTAGAACCAGAGGTTTTTGTTGTGCTCAGATGGTTTTCATCAGCACCTGCAGGAGCTTCTGGGACTGCGGCTCCGTGGCTTTAGACGACATCAGCCTGAAGCTCGGCGACTGCGAGCTGACAGCAGGTAACGGGTCTTTGGCGAGCTCGGTTCTGTTTAAAGGTTTGGTTAATAAACTCAAACCGGTTTCAGGCCTGCTGTCGTCGCCCCTCCCTGCACACTGCGACTTCGAGGTCGGGTTCTGTGGTTACTCTCAGGATAAACGGGGCGATGCTGGAGACTGGCAGAGGAGGAGAGGACCCACCCCGACCTCATACACCGGGCCCAGAGGGGACCACACCACGGGTCTGGGTAAGGATGACACACACACTTCTCACCAAGGACGTAATTTTCACTTTAGAAGTGGGGGGGACACGGGGGGGGGGAAGGGTATCTTTACAGTACGCTCTAATGGGAAACAGGCTTCAACACAAACGGTTGTTTTCCGCTTGGTCCTAGAGCTCAACCAGTGTCCATTTAATGTAGCGTAATATTGTTTTTGGATGGTAAAAAGTGCAGGGGTCAAAACTTGACTTTGGAAAAAGTGTGTGGGGGGGGGGGGGGGGGAAGGGGGGGGGACATAAATTACGTCCATGCTTCTCACACAACTTCATAAACGACCCGTGTTGGGACAGGGTACTACGCGCACATCGAGGCGTCGCCCATGCTGCCGGGCCAGAACGTGCGGCTCCGGTCCCGGCCCCTCAGGGGAACCAGGGGGCCTCAGTGTCTGCAGTTCTACTACCACATGTACGGCTCTGGATCCGGGATGCTCAGGGTTCTGGTCGACAAGAACGGAGAGGACTTGTTGCTGTGGCAACGGAGCAGCGAGCAGAGCATCGCCTGGCTGAAGGCCCAAGTGGAGTATCGGAGCGACGCTCGGCACCAGGTGAGATACCCGTCTCCACGTCTGGGTCGTTTCAGACGAGATCAGGGTAACAAACCAAAGGTTAAAGGTCAAACCTCTGTGGTGAAGCTTCCAGGAAGCCAGACTTTGTAGATTTGTGCTCCTCCTTCATCACCCTGAAGTCCTGTTTGAGGTGTGGATGTGATCCCTCAGATGATAATGACACACACTTGCATAACGCCATTCTGAGTCAGAGAACGCCAAAGCACTTCACACCAACGTGCATCATTCATCCACACACACACACATTCACACACGGGTGGTGATGAGCTACGATGTAGCCACAGCTGCCCTGGGGCGCTGACAGAGGCGAGGCTTTCCAAGCTCAGACTCCACCGGTCCCTCCGACCAGAGGGTTAAGTTTCTTGCCCAAGGACACAACAGCAGCATTCTCTGGTGGGAGCTGGAATCAAACCTGCAACCTTCCGATTACCGGCCGACTCGCTCTACCTCCTGAGCTGCTGCTGCCAGAACAACGGAACAAAAAGATGACAGAAGTACCAGAAAAGTTACTGGACCAAGACTTTCCACAACCATCAACAGCTGACTGAAACAGAATCATAACAAATAAAAAAAATGTTTCTTTTTCCCTTTAATTTAAAAACCTGTTAGTAGAAACAAAATGTTTTTTTATTCTAAACCACCTAAAGTCGGTACTGGAATGGACAGACTCTCATCCTGATCCAGAATTCAGGAAGATTTCTCAGAACTTTTTCCTTGGACCGGAATATTAATTAAACATGATAACCTGAGACGACTGTGGCACAAACCCATTTTACATGGGCTGCATGGTGGCGCAGTGGTTAGCGCCGTTGCCTCGCAACACGAAGGTCGCAGGTTTGAAACTCGGCTGTGGCCTTCCTGCGTGGAGTTGCGTGTTCTCCCCATGCATGCGTGGGTTTCCTCCGGGTACTCCGGTTTCCCCCACAGATCACAACATGCCCTATAGGCAAGTCGCTTTGGATAAAAGCGTCTGCTAAATAAATAAACATAAACATAAACATGTCGATGAGTGGCCTCTCAGCGCCCCTTGATGCAAGTCAAACTACCCAAAAAAGTTAAATAGAACAGTTTCATGTGCTTCTTGAGCATTTTTCCATCAACCAGGTGACCCTCGGTTGCCATGGAAACGGATGCCAAGCTGTTGGCTGATACCGGTGTGTCCCTCTGGTTTAGGAGCCTTTTTAAAATCTGAATGGCTCAAAATAAAAGAACAAAAGGATCAATAAGGGTTCTAAAATCTATAAAGCAGCCAAAGTTGGGAGGGAACCCTTCAGAGGATCGGACGTCTACGTAGGAACACTGCTCGTGTGGCACAGGAGTTAAGTTCTCGCCCCGTAATCGGAAGGTTGCAGGTTCGAGCCCCGCTCAGTCTGTCGCTGTGTCCTTGGGCAAGACACTTAACCCACGTTGTCTGCTGGTGGTGGTTGGAGGGACCGGTGGCGCCTGTGTCAGTGGGCCCCAGGGCAGCTGTGGCTACATCGTAGCTCATCACCATCAGTGTGTGAATGTGTGTGTGAATGGGTGAATGACTGATTGTGTTGTAAAGCGCCTTGGGGGGTTCCAGGACTCTAGAAGGCGCTTTATCAAACACCGGCCATTTACCATTTGTGTCACAGATTGTATTTGAAGCCATCCGAGGCTCCTCGGTGAGGAGTGACATCGCCATTGATGACATCATCTTGGAGGGAGGACCTTGCCCAGGTAAACGGACGATTCACCGGTTTCCGGTGAGAACAGGTCAGCAGCTTCCTGATGTTTTTGTTTCCTCTGCAGAGACGGAGATCGGAGCCACCGTCGGAAGCTCCAATGAGATCGAGTAGAAGGAAGCGAGTTGCCGCAGTAGGATGCATGCCCCCCGCCCCCACCTCCTCCCCAGTTTTGCACATTCCAGACGACCCGAAGCGTTGCAGACTCCTGCGTGTCGTCTGAACATGTGGAAGGAACCTTTGTGTGTTTTCACGGGGCGACACATATCAGCAGTACCAGAACCAGCGTCTCTCTGCACCGTAGCAACAGAGGATGCTCCACGGTGTCTTCCTTCACATTTATATGCATTAGATTAATGCTCGCTGCTTTAATAAAGCCAGAATGTTCCCACACACCATTTCTCCTGGTTTTTACGGAGATGGCAGATGTATGCCGACTCAGGTTTATGGTTCAAGGGTGACACCTTTATGGGACTCAAATATTTAGGGTTTAAAAACCCAGAAGCCTCTAGAGACGTGAGCAGTAAATCAAACATCATCAAACAGGAACTAAAAGCAGCATAATCAGATTTATTCCAACATACTCTGTACAGTTCACTGGGGAATTTTGGTCCTCCTTTGTTGCCGTACGTGTGTCATGGGGTTTGGTTTATTACATGATACACGTCCCGTCGTTCAGGTGCTTCATCGACTCCATTTGTTGGGTCATCGCCAGAACATCGTGGAATCCGGTGCTGAGTCCCGACATGTGCTGGAAGTACGCCTCCTTCTCCACCTGGACCGACAGGTTATTCACCCCCACGTCTTTCAAAATGGCCGTCACCTACAGAGGAGGAGGTTTTAGCATCAGTGTTTGGGCTTGGGACCAGAATGAGAGGCTAGACCCGGATCTGACTGGACCGTGAGACTCGTGAGGAACAGCCAGATGGTCTGGTTCTCACAGTCAGAAGCAACATTGTGTGACCCAAACATCTCCGACACAGTCCCAAAAGTATCGCTCATGCATTGTGATGAAAAACTCAAGAGTGATCGATTATAATCAGAAATAATCGTAAAAAATGTTTATTCCAGGGTATCTGCAGGTTTAAGGAAGCAAAATTTAAGACTTTTTAAGACCTTTTTTAAGGCCACTTTGACCAAATTTAAGCTATAATTTCCAGCTATTGCCTGGAACCGGCGCTAACCACGTAGCGAACGTGGGATTAGCCATCCAGTTACCATTAAACTTGCACTTCCCCATGGCGCAAGCTCCCACTAGCTTAACCAGCTAACGTGCTCATCTAAAAATAGTCCCCTTTCACAACCAACTGAATGTGTACGGTTCCGCTTACGCCAACATCGTGCACAACAAACGCTGAACACTAACTAGAAATTCACGAAATTTTTATAGAAATAAAAGAATCTTGTTTATTGGTCTTTGGTCATTTAAGACCTCAGGAAACTGTATTTAAGGATTTTCAAGACCTTAAATTTGGAAAAGCAAATTTAAGACTTTTTAAGGACCTGCGGATACCCTGTACTCATTCAACCGCACCTTTAACGTTAAATAGTTGTGAACATAATCTGAACACGAATGTGTTTAAAAAGTGCTGATCTACGTTAACAGCCTCTTGAAGTGAAAAGTCGACCACACTAGAAACGCAGAACAAAACCACCGTGAGGACCACCAACGGCCCCCGAGCTGCACTTTGGACACGTCTGCTGTAAGTAAACAAGCTGCTCCAGAGCAGGCAGGAAGAGCAAATCTGAGAACAACAGAATAATGGGCTCGACACACGGGAGGCGACAAACGACCGCGATCAGCGAAATTAGTCGCTTTTATTACCCGACACACGGGAGGCGACCAGCGGCCAGCGGCAAAGCCGTCGACGCGTCCTGTTCCATGGCGAAATTGGATCTTCCGTTGTTCTGCTTGGCTGTGTCAGGTTGGAGGGAATTAAGGTTATTTAAGCGGTTCAGACTTAATAAAGTGGTAAATATGATGTTTCACGGCGATGAAAAGTTGAAAATATTTAAACTTTCTGGGATCACGTCGCTGCGTCGCCTGTGCACGACACGCGCACGAGCGTAAAATTTCACACGCACGTTTTTCGCGTTTCGCTTGGTAGGAGGGAGACCCGCTATTATCGCTTTGTCGTGCATGTCTCATTGAAAATGAACGGAGGAGAGGGGATGTGGCCTCCCATGTGTCGAGCCCATAACGAGCTAGCCTCGTCCCATCAGTTGTCACACACACACAGGTGTGTGTGTGCAAAATTTGTTCTCTGCATCTGACCCATCCCCGGGTGAGCAGTGAGCTGCAGGCGCGGCCGCGCTCGGGAACCATTTGGTGGTTTAGCCCCCCCAATCCAACCCCTTAATGCTGTGTCAAGCAGGGAGGAACTGGGTCCCATTTTTTTCTAAGTATGACCTGACCAGGAATCAAACTCTGACCTCCCAGTCTCAGGGGGGACACTCTACCGCTAGGCCACTGAGCTGATATGATTAGTCGATTTGTCACGACGACATCGACAAACTAGTCGTGCATTCTATGAGCATTTTTTAAATCTCGTGTGTTGCGGCACCTTCGGGGGCTGTTTTCTGCTCGAGACACATGCCTTTGACATCACGGCCAGTCGGCAACGTAGCTCAAAGGTTTGGGAGCATTTTCCAAAGACAAAAGAGAAGCACGCAGTGCAACATCAGTAAGGTGAAACTCTCCTTTCAGAAGAGCACATCGGCGACGCACGAGCGCCTTAAAGGGAAACACGTCACAGCGGAGAACGAAGAGTCGCCTCTGTAAGCTAATACCTCTTGTTGCTGCTAACATCAACAGTTGCTTGTATTCACAGCTGTAGCAACAAAGGTATGATGGTGAGTTTATTACCTTTACCCTAACACGTTTGTAGGTCACGTATTAGCTCTAAAGTTACAAACTCTGGTTCATTTCATCCCGCTACGCTACAGCGTTAAATCCCCAACCAACGAGTTTGTTACGACGCCAAAAAGACTATTTCAGCTGAATTCACCCGTGAACACGAGACTTACTCTGGTTTAGGTGCCTACCTCCATCTGACTGTAGCATTTGGATTAACAGGTTACTTTATTAATCCCAGAGGGAAATTAGAGACACAGTTATTAAAAGTTGTTTGCTAAGCTAACATCTTGTCTTTAATATTAGACGGCACCTAGCTGATCGCACTTCAGACTAGAAGCTAATGATGGTAAACAACAGCATCCTGATGCAATAAGCTAAACTTTTATGAACGACACGATTAGTCAACTATTAAAATAGTTGTTTGTGACGTCGCTAACGGTTATAGGCATTTGGAATTAATACAAGCTAACGTCTAGCATCAGTTTGTGCTGCACATGCGCGTCACTTCAGAGATGCAGCAGTAGACGCTGTCCGTGTGGAGGACGGCGCCCACGTGGAGGATGGCTCCCACGTGGAGGACGGCGCCCACGTGGAAGACACCGCCGTGAGGAATACGCCGACGTGTGGAGGATGGCGCCCGTGAGGAGGACGCCCCCCGCGAGGAGGATGCCCCCCCCGTGGAGGACGGCGCCCGTGTCCGTGTGGAAGATGGTGCCCGTGTGGAGGACGGCGCCCATGTGGAGGACGGCGCCCGCGAGGAGGACGCCCCCCGCGTGGAGGATGCCGCCCGGGTGGAGGATGGCGCCCGCGTGGAGGACGGCGTCCGTGTCAGTGTGGAAGATGGTGCCCGTGTGGAGGACGGCGCCCGCGTGGAGGACGGCTCCCGCGTGGAGGACGGTGCCCGCGTGGAGGACGGCGCCCGTGTCAGTGTGGAAGATGGTGCCCGTGTGGAGGACGGCTCCCGCGTGGAGGACGCCCCCCGCGTGGAAGACGGCGCCCGCGTGGAAGACGCCCCCCGTGTGGAGGACGGCGCCCGTGTGGAAGATGGCGCCCGTGTGGAAGACGGAGCCCGCGTGGAGGACGCCCCCCGCGTGGAAGACGGCGCCCGCGTGGAAGGCGGCGCCCGTGTCCGTGTGGAAGATGGTGCCCGTGTGGAGGATGGTGCCCGTGTGGAAGATGGTGCCCGTGTGGAGGACAGCGCCCGTGTGGAAGACGGCGCCCGTGTGGAAGACGGCGCCCGTGTGGAAGACGGCGCCCGTGTGGAGGATGGTGCCCGTGTGGAAGATGGCGCCCGTGTGGAGGATGGTGCCCGTGTGGAAGATGGTGCCCGTGTGGAAGATGGTGCCCGTGTGGAGGATGGTGCCCGTGTGGAGGACAGCGCCCGTGTGGAAGATGGCGCCCGTGTGGAAGACGGCGCCCGCGTGGAGGACGCCCCCCGCGTGGAAGACGGCGCCCGCGTGGAAGACGCAGACGTGTGGAGGACGGTGCCCGCGTGGAGGACGCCCCCCGCGTGGAAGACAGCGCCCGCGTGGAAGACGCAGACATGTGGAAGACGCCCCTCGTGTGGAGGACGGCGCCCGTGTGGAAGACGCCCCCCGCGTGGAAGACGGCGCCCGTGTGGAGGATGGTGCCCGTGTGGAGGATGGTGCCCGTGTGGAGGACAGCGCCCGTGTGGAAGATGGCGCCCGTGTGGAAGATGGTGCCCGTGTGGAAGATGGTGCCCGTGTGGAAGATGGTGCCCGTGTGGAGGACAGCGCCCGTGTGGAAGACGGCGCCCGCGTGGAGGACGCCCCCCGCGTGGAAGACGGCGCCCGCGTGGAAGACGCCCCCCGCGTGGAAGACGGCGCTCGTGTGGAGGACAGCGCCCGTGTGGAAGATGGCGCCCGTGTGGAGGACGCCCCCCTCGTGGAAGACGGCGCCCGCGTGGAAGACGCAGACGTGTGGAGGACGGTGCCCGCGTGGAGGACGCCCCCCGCGTGGAAGACAGCGCCCGCGTGGAAGACGCAGACATGTGGAAGACGCCCCTCGTGTGGAGGACGGCGCCCGTGTGGAAGATGGCGCCCATGTGGAAGACGGCGCCCACGTGGAGGACGCAGACGTGTGGAGGACGGTGCCCGCGTGGAGGACGGCGCCCGCGTCTCCAACAGTCCAGTGAGATCAGGTTTAGCCGATCTGTTTTCCAACTCAGACGCTTAACAGCAGGAATCAGCTGCTAACCGAGTAACAGAAGAACATGTAGGGCTGACCTCTGACCTTTGCTACCTGATTTAAACCTTGTTTTGTCCTGACCTGCTGTACAATCCTTTGCTCCACCACGTCTGCCATGACCTGAAGGTGGATGGTGCCGGCGATCACGCTGGCCGAATGTCTCCAGAAGTGAGGGTCTCTGTACGACAAAACTCCTTCGATCTTCTCAATCTGAAACGATTCCACGTGAAACAAGTTCAAAACCGCACGAATCCAACCAACAAGTGAAATACGACTAAACCGACCTTCTCCAGCGCTCCGTTCAGGTCCTTCTCGTGTTCCGGAGGAGTTCGTAGGAGCAGAACTTCACAGGCGTCCTTCAGCAGAGGGATGACGCTCAGAAAAATGAGCGTGGCGATGAAGAGTGAGCAGATGGGATCAGCGATGAGCCAGCCGAACTGCCGGATGAGGATTGTAGAGATGATCACGCCGACGCTGCCCAGCGTGTCGGCCAGAACGTGAAGGAAAACTCCTGAAACGGGAGAAGAACCTGTGGAACCGGTCCCCACGACATCCCAGATCTGCAGGTTCCTCCACAAACCTCTCATGTTGGCGTTCATGCCTCTGCTGCCCGAGCTGTGGGCGTGGCCGTGACCTCCGTGGGCGTGGCTGTGGCCTCCGTGGGCGTGGCCGTGACCTCCGTGGGCGTGGCCGTGACCTCCGTGGGCGTGCTCGCCGTGAGAGTGGGCGTGGTCCTGCGACGAGCAGCTCTTCCCACCGTGAGAGTGGGCGTGGCTGAAGGCACAGATCCCCACCAGGTTGACGAGTAAACCTCCGACAGAGACGGGCTGCAGGGCGAGAGAGACAGAAACGGAGGGGGCAGGTCAGGTGGAACGCTGAGGAGCTTCGTTCCCTCGAATCCTCCCGCTCTCACGTTCCTCGCAGCTTCCCAGCATCTGGACGTGTTTAAAATGCAGCTGACAGTGTTTAGGACAAAGAAGCAGATAAAAGGCAGAGCGGCTGGTTTGTTTACTCTGGACGTTTCATCTCCGATCCAAAGCCAGGGACTAAAACTGAAGCCTGCAGCTGGATTATGAAGGAAAACAGAAACGCATCAGAGACAATATCGGACGGCGCTCTAAAGGTGACTCACGGTCAGCATGTCGGTGTTTATGTTGGGAGGATCCAGCAGCCGCGTGACGGACTCCACAAACACAAAGAAGGCGATGACCATCAGAAACAGGCCGTTGATGAACCCAGACAGGATCTCAACCCGACCGAACCTACAGAGACACACCAGAACCAGTTCAGCAACCATCGGGACGGATGTTCTGACCCGGCCGGCTCCCCTAAAAGGACTTTACCCGTAGGAGAAGATCCTGGTGGCTTTCCATCGGGTCATGAGGGCGGCGAAGAGGCCGAGGACTAAGGCGGAGCAGTCGAACAGCATGTGGAAGCCGTCAGAGATGAGGCCCAGGCTGTTGGTCCAAACGCCGTAGAACAGCTCCACGAAGGTGAAAGCCTGAGGAACAAGAAAGATCCCAGATCATTTAGTCACGTCTGCAAACATCTGTAAAACCGGCTCGAAGGCGCTTTCGTCCTGACGCACCAGGTTGAGACACAGGAAGTAGAAGATCTGTCTGGAGTCGTACTCCTCCAGAATCTGCTTCAGCGAGTCTTTGATGAATCGAGGAACCGACTGAGATGTGTGCTGCAGGGCGTCGCCCATGAAGTTGTACAGCGGCGTCCCTTCAGGAGAGTAGCCCACCAGCGTGCCCTTCTGGCCCCTCCTGGACGGGGACGACAGGATGCTGGAGGCTGCAGGGGGACCAGGACAGACTAGAAATTGCCTGCAGACTGAAACGCTAGCGCTCCATCGCGGCCGCTTACTCACACATGATGAAGAAGACGGCGCTGACGATCACCCCCCCGGAGAGCACGTGCTCCGTGCTGACCTGCTGCGGGGGTTTGCTCATGGAGCGGAGCTGGTCGGTTATGGGGTGAGTCCAGAAATTAGCCAGCAGCAGCGCGCTGAGGAAGAGCGCCGCGGTGCCGTAGCGGGCGCACCTCGGCGCCTCCATCTTAGCGCTGCAGACAGCCTCCACGTAAAACTCCAGGATCATGACGGAGAAGATGATCATCCCGAGAGGCGGGATGAGGGAGGACCACGACTCAACTTTACTCTGCAGGGAGGTCAGAGGTCAATGAGCAGAAGCAAACTCAGATTTATGACAAACTGATGAGGATCAGCTGCAGAAGCGTCAGCGCTCCAGTCGACGCAGATCAAAGCTTCACAAACGTTTATGTTCGGATTTCTGCTGGTGAGAACTTTTTAAAGGCGTTGCTTTAAAGGGACTTTACGGAGTTTTGAATTTTTATGCTCGCGATCGCCCCCTCAGGCTAAAAGCGCAACGGCAGCTTCAATAGTAGGCTCGTGCACGAGGCGCGCATGCTGTACGTGCACACTCCTTAACGAAAATAACAGCTGAGACAGTCCCGTGTGTGTGTGTGTGTGTGTGTGTGTGTGTGTGTGTGGTCCGGAGGACAGAGGACAGGACAACGTGCAGCTAATTAATTAAATAATGTGGTTCTGTAGCTTTCTCTTCAGCACAGCCGACAAAGGTTTATGATGGGTCAGTCCTCCTGCATGCTCGGATCATTCCCTTCCCTTGCTTGAAAAATTGTTCCAAAATGAAAGTTGAACCCACATCTTTTTTATCTGTGAATTCAACGCTGTTCAGCGAGTCTCAAATAAAAATTTGGGCATCTTACTGTAAAAAATATACCATTAATGTAAAAAAGAAACTCTAAATAAACTATGTTCACATCCAGAATCAAACCCAGGTCTTCTGCATGAGAGCCAGACATCTTACTAGGTGAGCTAAAGCATGAGGTGACGTCCTTTGTATCTGTAACATTTATATCCTTGATGACAGCTGAAACAACGTCAAACCAAAGAACGGTTCGGAGTGAAAATGGCTATTTTGTTGCTAATTAGCAGGAAATATCTAGAAGAAAGTTCTACAGAAAGTAGCTAAGGGTCCTCAGAAACGTAGCTAGCTTTGTCACTAGGCGTTAGGAACAGCGACAAAGTGGCACTGCCTCTCTCTCTGCTGCTAAAGCTACGGATAGCAAATGCTACGGGCGATGCCTGAGCGTGAACGCGCATGAAGCAGCCTGCTCGACCCGAGCATCTCTCTTTTTCTGTGATTTTACAGAAAAACAGGCAATCACAGTAAAAATGCCAGGGCTCATTCTACAGGACCAGGGCATTGCAGGAGAACGTATGAAGAAGACATTTATTATTTCTATACATGTTTTGGCTGTCAAACTTCCATAATGTCCGTTTAAAGTAAGTAGTTACTTAATCTTTTTAATCGACCTTCGCAGCATAATTTATAAACTTTAATAAAATTATGAAAACAACATTTTAACTTCAGCCAAAGGCTCTTTTATGACCTCAACAGGGAAAACGGCTAAAATAAACATGTTAATGTGACATGTATTTAAATGACGCTTCTAGATTTTACAGTACATCGGTGGTGAAATTAAAAAATGTAAGTTTTGCTTCTTTTACATGAGGGGCGGGAATCTTCAGGAACATCAAGATTCCATTCGATTACGATTGAGGGAGCTCCGATTATCGATGCGTCTTTCTCCGCCCTCACCTGGTTGCCAAGTGATTACTTAAGAAAAACATATGTAATTATGAATCATTAATTTAATTCCAATATCTTTTATTAACATAAGTATCAGTGCAATGTTTTAAAGAAAAGTGCTGCTGTCATTAACAGCTTCCAAACAACATGATGCTGGATGTCCAATTCATTTGAACATGAATAACTGTTCTTTTTCCAGAAATAAATACGATTAGACAACAACATTTGAGTATAAATTAGGGATGCGCTGATACCGATACTGGTATCGGTACAGATACCGATGCGATACTGGTATCGGTAAAAGTGAACCGATACCAATGCAGTTGCTTGAAAATGGCTTCACTGTAACTTGTCATTTCTGTTCACCTAATATTTTAGTTTTGTGATGATTTCCATTCATATATTTTACTTTTTATCTACCTCACAGTCTTTTCCTGTTGAAAGCAGAGAAGAAAATCTGTATTCCAAATCATTGCCTTATTTGTGTGGTAGAAGTATCGGTATTGGTTATCTGCGAATATTCAGATCCAAGTATCTGTATCATATCGGTTTGGAAAAAAGTGGTATTGTTGCATCCGAAGTATAAATACCCTCGACAAGAACTTGTATAAATAAATGCGTAAAACAGGAAAGAAATAAAGCGTACGGACGCAGACCTTTTGCGATAAAACTTGCTATGGGCTTTGTAATTCAGTTCGCCTGATCAGAGTTTGGTGGAAATTTTAACGACGCCTGCTCCGTAGATCTCTGGTTGGTGGCGGCAGCCGCAGCTACGGCATCTTTTTCTCCTCCTTCGGGTGAAAACGATCAGCGTGGTTTCTCGTGTTGGTTTTATTTTACACAACTTGAACACCGTATGGCTTTGGTCCGGGTCCCGTTTCCCCTCAAATATCATGAAAACCAAAGTCATTCCACACGCTTGCTTTTAATGTTGGCGGTGCTGGCCGTGTTCCTCAGTCGGCCATGTTGTCCTGTGCAAACTGTAACCGTTCCGTCCAAGCACCAGACTTCCTTTTAGCCGAGTTCCACTTTTAGTGCCTCGTCATAAATAAAATTGATTTTTTACTTTTTTAAATCGATTGATAATCGTTCCTGTTCGCATCTCGATGCAACTAAAAATCGAGTTTATCTCCCATCCCTATTTTACATCAAAGATGGCACCTAGGGTTTGGAATGGAGGCGTAACGTCTCCTTTTATCCGTCGGATCGGTTTACTCACCTCTGTGGTCGCTGACAACACCACGACCCACGGCAGCAGAACCGCAGCAGAAACCAGGTTGTCCAGGGCGTAGAGCCGCTTGCAGCCTCCGATCTCCACGGACAGTTTACGGGACGCCGTGTGGAAGGCTACCTTCAGACACACCGACGCCACCAGCAGCACAACGCCGCCCTGACAACAGATACACGGATCAGAAGGAAGTCCTCGCTACCAAAACCCAAAGCTGCTTTCCGTACTTTGTGATCTGCGACTCCTAAAAATGAGATGGTGGTGTAGAGGAAGTGTGTGAGCGTGCTGTCGTGATGTCCCTCAGCTGATAGCAAGATCAGTCAAGGCTCAAACGGTGCAGAACAGAACCACAGGGATTAAAACACGGCGTGGAACCAAGGATACGGTGATGGTGGTCTCCCATCTTCACCATCAGGTCATCGTTATCAAACAGCAGGAGGCAGATCACGGCGATGATGAAGAAGGCCGCCCCCCTGGTCTGGCAGAAGAACACGGGGAACATTATTTCAAACCTGTTAGAGGAGCAGGAGAGGCTTTCCAAGAGGAGTTCTGCCGTTTATCTGTCAGCTATATTAGCAGCGGAGGGTGTTCACTGCTTCCAGGGTGGTGTACTCTCTTATCCACAAATCAGAGCTTTTGTATCTGAGGAAGGTGTGGTTTCTGAGGTTTGTTGGTAAAACCTCAACATGTCAAATTCCGTCTGGTCAGTAAATCATAACGTAGGATTTAATAAAACTAGAACCACTTCCCGAGCTGATTCGGTTTGAGCAGAGCTTCGGACCGGCCAACCGGAGCAACACTCGTTGAACCACCGCATCTTTTGACAAGCCGTCAAAGCTGACACAGCAAACGGTTCCTTCAGAACCAAGCCGACACCGCGCCGACTCCTTAAAGGTCCTTCCTTAGACGCAACAGCTAGCTGTGGTGACCTGGAGGCAACTCGAGACCGGTCTAGTGGCGCTGCCGTTTCTCCTACGGACTTCGGTACTTTTGGGGTCCACGGACTTCCTGACATTCCGGATCTACAACGGCGTCTCCGACAGGGTACGTAGGCGCGACAGATTGCGTCTGATGCTGTTTTATAAACCATCACTTCCAGTTCACAGCAGACCAAACTCAATCCCACTCAGAACTCAGTTTCTTCCAGATACGACATCACATTACACTACAACACACACTCCAACTCACATAACCGTTTCCTAGTTGTCAGGTTTTATAATTTGTTTAGAAAATAAATTTCTTACTTTTTATGAACTTGACTGTCTGAATTAATAGGAAGTGTGTCACGGTCCCTGAATAAAAAAACAATCGGACCGGAAAAGGGTGGCTTGCCAACTCCGGGTGGGGGGAGAGGTCCTACCTCAAGTGGAGGAGTTTAAGTATCTCGGGGTCTTGTTCACGAGTGAGGGTAGGAGGGATCGGGAGATCGACAGGCGGATTGGTTCGGCGTCTGCAGTGATGCGGACGCTGAGCCGATCTGTCGTGGTGAAGAGGGAGCTGAGCCAGAGAGCCAGGCTCTCGATTTACCGGTCGATCTACGTCCCAATCCTCACCTATGGTCATGAGCTTTGGGTAATGACCGAAAGAACGAGATCACGGATACAAGCGGCCGAAATGAGTTTCCTCCGTAGGGTGGCCGGGCTCAGCCTTAGAGATAGGGTGAGGAGCTCGGACATTCGGGAGGGACTCGGAGTAGAACCGCTGCTCCTCCGGATCGAAAGGAGCCAGTTGAGGTGGTTTGGACATCTGGTCAGGATGCCTCCTGGACGCCTCCCTGGGGAGGTGTTTCGGGCAGGTCCTGCCGGCAGGAGGCCCCCGGGTGGACCCAGGACACGTTGGAGAGGTTACATCTCCAATCTGGTCCGGGAACGCCTTGGGGTCCTGCCGGAGGAGCTGGTGGAGGTGGCCGGGGAGAGGACGGTCTGGAGCTCCCTAGTTGGGATGCTGCCCCCGCGACCCGGACCCGGAAAAGCGGAGGAAGACGGTGACGACAACGATATGGAATCATCAAATCTTATTGATCATAATTAAAATACATACGTAGAATAACACTACAGCAATAGTCCCAGTCCTCCCTGCTGGATCTCTGGTTTAGGCACCAGTGGAGTCTCTCTCCTAAACTCTGAGTGGAGACAGGGTCCAGAGAACTCCTGACCGCAGTACGAGGCTCCGTGGTTGTTATGCAGGCGTGTTACGTTCGGGTTTAAGGCAGAAAAGGGGGTCAGCAACAGGTCAAAGGTAACATTTAAGAACGTTTTTTATGATTTTCTGTCAGGATCCATTAAGTCTGGTGGATTTTATCATTTCAAAACTTCCAAACGTAGCTTGATGGAACCGATTTTCCAGGAACATCTACCCGACCTTTTAAACTTCTCTGAACCTTAAACGTTTCTGGAATGTTTGGGCTTATTTTAATTTATCTTAAGCAGATTGATGAGTAAAAGAGTATCAGGACTGGCCAAAGTTTGGGAGGTTTTTACCTTAGATGGTCCTCCTCCCGAGTTTGTGAAAAGAACGCCAAGGAGGGCGACGATGACCACGTCACTGTGCTCGAAGAGCAGCAGCGTCCTAAAAAACAGGATTTTAAAAACAAAACACTGGAAGTTTCCTTCTGTAGCGCTGACGTAAATAAAATAAACCCAATTAAACTCAAGAGTTTAGAGGGATCCAAATGTTTACGTGACTGTAATAAAAACGATCAGGTTCTACCTTAAAGGTCCACAGAGAGTCAGACCGAAGAATCCCAGCAGGGAGATGATGCAGCTGAAAACGGCATGTTTCACTAATTTAATCCACTGGAAAGAAAAACAGATGAAAACAGTTTATTACGTCACAACAAGCTCTTAAACATAAACAAATGTTTGTTTTAACCTTGTGAAGAGCCGATGAAACGCGTTTAACTCCCGGAGAAGCTTCGCTTTTACAAGAGGCCGAGTTTTTCACATGTTTAACGTTTATGTTGAAGGAAGAGGGTGTACTTGATCTGGGGTTTCTTGACCCTCTGAAGGACTAAATAAATAAATTAAGGGTTTATGTGGAAGTTTTCCAGAAAGACTCCGATTTTAGAAGGTTTTCTTTTTTTTTGACGACAAACTAAAGCTGATTTAAGCAGCAAATGGAGAAAAAAAACACCTTTTTCTCCTGATTACTGAATTAAAAACTGGAACCCAACCAGGACTGTTTTGTTCCACCGGATGAAACGAGAACTGAGAAGGGAACCAGACTGACCTGGCTCCTTGAGATGACTTTTCCAGATGAAAAGGGCTTTTGGAAAAACAGCAGAACAACAGCGCTCCTAAAAATCAAAACAAGAGTCAGCATGTCGTCCGCCTGCGTCCGACCCTGAAACAGAGAGCTGAAGTACTCACCCCAACTTCAATATGAAGATGAACTGAACTATATGAACAACTTTTAGGATATCATAAGATTCAAAGATCCCTAAAGCTTTGAGGACCTTAGAGATGATCAGCAGAACGATGTACCTGCTCAACCTGCGGACGGAAGACAACAGAAAACATCATTAGTGACACACAGAATTATGTAAAGTTAAATGAGGACAGAAACTGATTTGTGGCCCACAGAAAATGTATTTTACACACCTGCCGGGTGATTTGACAGGATCTTATAACATTAGCTACTGTGATTACATAATGATGTAAGTAGGGAGACCTAAGTCCACCCTTCATGCTTCGATAACAGCTGCTGATCAGATGTATTCTTTATAAAATTAGGGGTTGTTGTGAGTCTGGAGCATACAGGTGTGTGTTAACGAAGGAAAAACATCCCAGAGCAGGTTCCCTCTGTGGTAGATAATAAAAGAGCTCCTGCTGGTATGAAAAAGAGACAACTAGAAGAAAACTGAACAAATGTGGCATGTACAGAAGGGGCTTATTGCAGCCACCTGGAGCTGAGATCTCATTTATTTAGTTATGGTCCAGATCACGTGACCTTAGAGGGGGTAGAAGCAAAGCAGATGACATGATCTTCCTCTGAAGGAGGAGCAGACACGTCCTTAGAGACGGGGTGAAGCGCTCCATCCTTGTCGTAGAGCCTCTCCTCCTCACAGAAAGAACTCAGCTGAGATTGTAGAGAAATCTGACATTCAAGCCTTCAGGATACAATGAGCTGGAGGTATTCCACACATGTCCCACTGGGAAGAGACCCGAGGACCACCAGGAGGGGTATCATGTGTTCTGGGAACGCCTTGGGTTACCCAAGGAGGAGCGGGAGAGGATGCCTGGGTTTCCCTCCTTAAACCGATACTTCTGTGCTTTAAACGGCTATAAAGACATGTTTTACCTTGAATCAGGCACTTCGACCATTCCCAGTCTTCCACCCGACAGGACGTTGCTGCTGTATTTATCCTCCATCTCAAAGCTCGCAAAACCGACCAGTGACAGCAAAGTTATCCTCTTCAAATCCTTCACAATTCAGTCAGCAATAAAAGTAACGACACAAATCCTCCTCCGTTTACCGCTGAAGTAAACAAGGCCTTAGTTTTCTGTTTGTTCTTCATTCTGCCGGCTAGCTCAAGCTGCTTTTGGCATCACGTGCTCCGTCTTCGTTCTAACCCAGATTCCCATTTAAGAGCGTTTTAGAAACACAAAATAATACTTTTTTCGTCTAAAACAAACAAAAGAATTAATCGGAAAGCTCTAAAATGAGAAGGAAAAATATCCTGATTGTCCCAAAAGCCATGAAACTTCCGTATACGTCAAGCTTTGCACCTCACGCGAGAAAATCCGAGAACGTGTCTGCTGCGCATGGCGGCTGCGCAGATCTGTTAGGTGACTGAAGGGGGAGTCGGTTAGATGTAATTTCTGTAACTCGACCGTATGAAAATGGTCTAACTCACATCTTTGCTTTAATATATTATCATGTGGACTTCTAAACGTGTTACATAACTAAATAACACATGCAACAGCTACAAGAAAATTTCATCTGAAGGAACTGCATACCGTTTATTTTGATCAATAAAGTGTTATAAACTCGTCATGTCCTGTGTGCAGGTCGCAGGGTTTATAGTATTTTCTGCCACTATTGCCTTATTTGTTAACGTTTGTTAAGAAAGGGGCTTGTGGGGATGAAAGTTTAGTTCGTCACTGATACGATCTACAAAAAATAAAAACACCCTTGAGATTCACGTTTTATCATGTTTTCCCCAAAGCTGATCCAACGGCATCAGAAAATGAAACACCCATACAGGCGGATCAGAGCATTTTTCTGGTTTTAAAGCAAAATCATTTAGTGAATTTAAAGGGAAATAATGTTTTCAGATTAAACTGAACCTTGCTTTAAATTTTCATTGTTATTTCTACGGATGATCTAACGCCTTTGTGTGGAGGAACGGGTCCTCCCGACTGTGGTTTGTGCTTATGCACCAAACTGCAGCTCAGACTACCCACCCTTTTTGGAGTCCTTGGAGGTCCTGGAGAGCGCTCCTTCCGGTGACTCCCTCTTTCTGCTGGGGGATTTTAACGCTCACGTGGGCAACGACAGTGAGACCTGGAGAGGTGTGGTTGGGAGGATTGGCCCCCCAATCTGATTATGAGCAGTGTTTTGTTACTGGACTTCTGTGCACATCATGGATTGTCCATGACACCATCTTCCAGCTTAAAGGTGTCCATGTGTGCTCTTGGCACCAGGATACCTTAAGCCACAGTTTGATGATTTACTTTGTTGTCGTTTCATCTCATCTGTGGCTGCATGTCTTGGACACTTGGGTGGAGAGGGGTGGAGCTGTCAACTGACCACTACCTGGTGGTGAGTCGGCTTTGATGATGGGGGTGGGGGGGTGGGGGGGGACCTAAACTTGTGAGGGTCTGCTGGGAACGTCTGGTGGAGTCTCTTGTGAGAAGGAGCTTTAAGGGAAGCCTGGGACATCAAGTCACTGGCCCATGTTCAGTGCTTCCATTTTCCAGGTGCTTGGCACCGGCAGTTAGGGATGCTGTCAAGCTGAAGAAAGAGTCAGGTCTTATTGGCCTGTGGGACTCCAAAGGTAGCTGATGGGTACCGGCAGTCCAAATGGAATGTGGCTCGGGTGGAGACCCAAGGAAATACCCAGGACACTCTGGAGGGACTGTTTCTGTCAGCTGGCCAGGGAATTCCTTGGGATTCCCTGGAGGAGCTGGCCCAATTTGAGGTAACTGCTTCCACGACCTGACTCCAGATAAGCAAATGAAAATTGATGGATGGATTTAACCTTTAATGTGCTTTTAACTCTTTATCTGTTGTGTGTTTTTAGCATGGTTTTATTCTGTTATGCCGTGTTCAGCATTCTGGGCGTCCTTGTCAAACAGAGCTACATTCATAAAGCTGATCATGATGGAAAGAAGGAAGGCTGGGATACGTTTGCTTTATTAGAAGACAGAAAAATGGTGTCAGGGTGAGCCGTCTCCAGTTTCACTGAGCTCCACACAACCCAAGCAGGACTTTCTGGTACTCTCCCTTAGTGTCAGCCTAGAAAACAAAAAAAGGAAAAAAACTTATATTTGTATTAATTCATACTAAAAGCCAGAATGGAAACACTATAACAGTTATATTTCTACCACTATGTCGTCCTGTAGGCTTCTCCCAAACATGGCTTGGTATTCCTCCACTATCTTCTTCAGGTCGACCTCAGAGCGGCTCACCAGAATCCTGATCAGTGTTCTGTCTCGGGTACCAACACCCTGTTGGAACAAAGCAGGGTTTCAGTTGTAGAAGTCATGAAATGCTACGATTACCTAGTCATTCTCACAATATTAAACAGACCTCTCTAGATATCTATATTTATTGTAAGAGCCATAATATTTGTTGGGCGAGTTGATTACTGGGTTTCCGTTCTCTTTTTCTATGCATATATTTTACAAGTGAGAATGGAAAAGGTGCAAAAGTCCAAAAAAGCTAGCTTTTAAACAACTCTCGCTCCTCCCGTCGGCAAACATCCCCAGGCCATGCCCGCCTTTTAGGAACTCTGGTAGTTTGTCCTTAAGTTGAAGTGGTAGCAGCCAGCTGGTTACAGCAGAACTAGATGGGCTCCGAAGAAGTGAGAGGGCGCGTACCCTGACAGAAAGGGGGAGAGCATACCAAGATGAGAGACTGAAGCACATTCAACGCAGATACAAAATCATCTAAGTGGAGGTGTCATGCACGAATAGGCAAAGAGTTATTAAGTGGTGATTCTTCTAAGGATGAGTTAACTGAGCTTATTGAGAAAATCAAAGGCACCTGTTCTGATGTAAAAGTAGTTTATGAGGAGCTGCGTCAAGTTCAAACCCCTGAACCAGACCTGCGGCGCAGGGTTGATACATGCATGTCATTCTCAGAATTTATCATTCAAAGAGCAGAAAGACAGCTTAAAGGTCATGAAGCAGATAAAGATGAAGAGTCTTGGCCTGACGTTGGATCCGTTCTAGGTTCAACAGGTTCTGTTTCTAGACCACTGTCTCATCAATCAGGATGTAGTTCTACCCACTCTAGCAGCCACTCTGTCAAAAGAATAGAGGCTGTAGCTGAAGCTGCTGCAACTCAGGAAGTCTTGGCAGTGTTGGAGGAGCAAGAAAGAAGAAACAGAACTTCAAATGTTAGAGGCTGAGAACCTAGCCAGACAGCAAGCAATCCAATTTCTTCAATACAAGCACTTAAGAGTGTTGAAAGCGAGAAACCAAGGCATCCACGAAGCCAAATAGTTCAAGCAAAGACTGACCACAAGTACAATACAGAGCAGTGTTACATCATGTGTTTTCTGCAAAAGGACAGGACACACCCTAGACAAATGCCGAAGTTTCACCAAAAAGGCAGTTCAGGATCGTGTTAAGTTTGTACACACAGAGAAGCTTTGCTTTGGATGTTTGAAGACCGGTCATCGTTCAAGAAAATGTGATAACAAAAGCACGTGTGAGAAATGCCAAAAGAGACACCCGACATGTTTGCATGATGATAAGTTCAAGGAACGTCAAAGGCCATACCACCTGAATGGAGGTGAAATTTCTAAGGACAAGGCAGACACCACAGAAAGGACCGCAACAGCCACTTCCAACAGAGTTATATGAGAGGGTCTAAGCTCACAAACATCTTCTATCTTGCCAGTCTGGGTGTCATCTATTAAGCAACCAGATCAAGAACAGCTAGTTTATTCACTCTAGACACAGAGCGATACCACCTTCACACTAGATGAAGTAGCTCAAAGCCTGAACACAGAGAGAATGCCAGTCTGCGTCTGTCCACAATGTCTGCCAAGTCGACAGTTATTCCATGTCAGAAACTGACAGGTCTACAAGTGAGAGGATACAACTCAGAAAAGGATCCCGCTACCACCTGTTTTCACAAGAGAGTTTATCCCAGTGGACAGGCTGCACATTCCAACCTCTGAAACAGCTCTAAAATGGCCACATCTAAAGCAACGGTCAGAAAGGATTCCACCACATTTGGATTGTGAAGTAGGCCTCCTTATAGGCTACAACTGTCAACGGGCCCTTCTCCCAAGAGAGATCCTGTCTGGTGACGAAAATCATCCATGTGCACAGCGGACTGATCTGGGCTGGAGCATTGTTGGTTGCTCACATTCAACAAGCAATGACAGCGATCCAATAGGATTCAGTCACAGAAGCATAGTACGACAAGTGACACCGACTGTGCATCCATCAGTTCAGCTAAAGGAGGAAGTGCACTTTGCGTGCAGGACTCAAGTCAAAGCGACCAACCCACTTGACATAAGATTTTCTGAATCAGATTTCACAGATCACTCGACAGATGATAATCCAGTATCTCAGGAGTACTTCCTCTTTCTGTCTAAAGTGAAAGCTGGAATTAGACAGAAGGAAGATGGCCACTATGAAATCCCGCTTCCTTTCAAGACAGACGAGCCTAATCTTCCTGAAAACAGTATGCAGTTCACAGGCTCAGCTCATTAGAGCGTCGACTGAGGAGAAATGAACAATATTACATGGACTATGTCAACTTCATGAACGAAATAATAAGCAGAAAGGACGCCGAGTAGGTGCCACAGTCTGAATTAGACAACCAGCCACCATGGTACATACCACACCACGGTGTCTACCAGCCCCACAAGCCCGGGAAGATCCGTGTGGTTTGATTGTTTGGCATGCTACCAAGAAACCTCTCTAAATGACCATCTCTTGACAGGTCCAGACCTGACTAACGCAGTAGTTGGTGTGTTGCATCGACTTAGAAAGGGTCCTATAGCCATAATGTGTGACATTGAAAAAATGTTTCACCAGTTCCACATCCAAGATTATCTAAGGTTCCTCTGGTGGGATGGAGGCGATTTGGATTCTGAACCCTCGGTGTACAGGATGAAGGTACACCTCTTTGGGGCAGCTTCATCCCCCGGTTGCTCCAACTTTGGACTGAAATATCTAGCTTCACAAGGCCAAGGCAAGTTCATCCAAAGAAGCTTCTATGTGGATGATGGCCTGACAAGTGTAAGCTCGACTGCTGAAGCCGTACGCCTGGTAAGGGAATCAAGAGCTCTGTGCAAAACAGGAACTCTACGGCTACATAAGTTTGTATCCAACGATGAGGGTGTGACTGTAACAATTCCACCACAAGAATGTGCTCAGACCAAAGATCTAAACATGGCTCTAGGAGAACTTCATATCGAGCGAGCACTTGGAGTTCAGTGTTGTGTTGAGGCGGATGAAATTCAGTTCAGTGTGGTGGTAAAAGAAAACCCACTGACAAGGAGAGGGGTTCTCTCAACTGTAGCCTCAGTCTATGATCCACTAGGTTTCGTGGCTCCATTCATACTTGTTGGCAAACAGATTCTTCAAACACCGTGTAGAGACAAAGTAAGCTGGGACGAACCTCTCCCCGAGCACATCCAGCCACAATGGGAGTCATGGCTCAAAGACCTGCCTCATTTGGCATTTCTAAAGATTCCAAGAAGCTACCTTCCATCAAACTTTGGTGAAGTCTCACTATATGAGCTTCACAACTTTTCAGATGCAAGCTTCAAAGGGTATGGTGCATGCTCATACCTTAGATTGGTGAGTGAAACAGGACAAATAAGTTGTTCCCTTGTCTTGGGGAAAGCAAGAGTAGCCCCTACCAAACTAACGACCATCCCAAGACTTGAGTTGTCTTCAGCTGTGACCTCAGTTCGCATTGGTGATATCAGAGGCGAGCTGGAGATTGAGAATTTGCAAGAGTATTACTGGACTGACTCAAAGGTGGTCCTTGGCTATGTGAACAATGCTGCTAAAAGGTTCCAAACATTTGTGGCCAACCGCATCCAGCGAATAAGATCTAGAACAACACCTGAACAATAGCGATATGTCAACTCCGAAGTCAACCCAGCTGATGGAGCCTCAAGAGGATTGACTGCAGTTCAAATTAAAGAATCCAACTGGCTGAAAAGACCCACTTCCTTTGGCAGCAAAATTTCCCACATGAAGTGGGAATGGTGGGAGAAGTTGAGGCTACTGATCCTGAACTTCGGAAAGTACATGTTCATGCAGTTAAAGCAAGAGAACAGAATCCAGTGGTAAACCGTTTAAATTTTCTGACTGGTCCAGAGTGGTGAGAGCAATTGCCAGGCTCAAGAGATTTGTCAGAGAATTCAAGGGATTTCAGTCGATAACTAATGAGTCAACTAATCTTGAACAAAGAGAAGCAGAGGTCTTCATTTTCAAACTCGTACAAGGAGACGCGTTTGCTGAAGACAAAGAAAATGAGAGGCAAGAAGGAACACACTTTGAGCAGGCACAACAGGCCCGCCCGCAGCCTCCCACTCCCAAGCCGGCTGAGCCTGGAACCCAGCGACCCGGGACCCAACAGTGCCCAGGGACTCCGATCCCACCAGGCAGCCAGGGTGTGTGTGTGTGTGTGTGTGTGTGTGTGTGTGTGTGTGTGTGTGTGTGTGTGTGTGTGTGTGTGTGTGTGTGTGTGTGTGTGTGTGTGTGTGTGTGTGTGTGTGTGTGTGTGTGTGTGATGAACAGAGGACTTAAGTGTGAGACTCGTCTGACTTGGACAGATGTTCCAATCACTTGTTTTGGACTGAGCCGGGTTATTGGCTATGTTTTTTTTTATTTTATTTTATTTTTTTTACACAAATGTGGGAGAGAACCACTTCATTCATTTCTTTGGGTTATTTTTTTAATCTTCAAAATATATTTTCAGTTATGTTTGAACGTTGTTAAAAGGCATGAAAAAATGTTTTAAGCTTGCTTATTTTGCAAATTTGCCTTTGCACCAAACCACCTTTTTCCTTTTTGCAACTTCAAAATGCGTCTCAGGCCAAAAACGCAGAAACTGGTGTTTTTTTACGTGACCAGATTGATTCTGTTTCCTAGCAAAGTTAAAATCTTAATTTAAATCTTCTCAAAAGGTTAGTAAAGCAGTGAATGATTTCACAAAACTGAGACCCACAAGAAAACCCAAACCATCCAAAAGAACAGAAGTTCACTCGTTCACATCCGTTTAAAAATCCATGGTTCACCTTTTGAACTTTCAGTACACACCTTCATAGCATGGCAGAGCTTCTCAGCAAAGAACGCAGGAGTGTTCCAGGCACATTTCACTAAAATCAGAGAGAGACGTAAACATGTGTCAGACTGGAACCAACACACCAAGTCCAGATGTTGCTGCTGCTCCACAGCTGTAAAGTTTCAGATTCAGGTTAAGTCCATTTCTGATCTCAAACCCATCAGCCTGCTGCGTCTCACACCTTCACTCACCAACCAGCAGGAGTTAATTTATCTGGAGCTGATCTGCAGACTTATTTCTTTGTGGAGAACATATTGCAACTAAAACCAAGTTATATTACTTTGGGTAACTTTGAAGAGTCAAAACATTCCAGGGAAGGATTTCAGAAGCGCATTTAGATTTCTGGAGCACAACAGAGCTTTCATTTCCGTCAATAGGATGCATTTTAAATAAAACATTGAATCTGACTATTGGTTTCTGACCCAAAACATACAGTTCCTCACATAATTTACTAATCTATAAACAGAAAGATTTTGTTTGGCTTTGATCAGCTGCTGGGAAAATTTTATACTTGGTGGAGCTGACGTGTCAATGGAATTCCCTTTAGCCCAGAATACAACAATAAATAAATAACAGCATGTCTGATGAAGATCCAATGTCTTGATGCACACACGTCTGTTCAGGGCAAAAAAATAATAAATAAATAAAATTAATAACATATATATATATTATATATACACACACATTATTGAAAGCATGACTAGCAAGCAGTTACCGTCTATTAGCTTAGCATGCTAACCAGAGGAAATCATTCAAAGACATTATTTCATCAAAAACACAGCAGACCTTTACAAAATACACTCACTGTTCTCATATACTCTTTAAATGGCTTTAACCCAACAGGCGACTTCCAGAAAGTTAGCTTGCTTCACCAAGCTAGCAGTAGGTGGCTACAGAACTTAATCTGTTACAAAAAGGAAATGTGGGAAACAAAAACAACCATAAGAGTAGTTTTCTGGTCCGCTTTGCATCAAACATACGTTGTACTTCAGTTTAAATGGCAAAATTGTGCGTTTCAACTGTCACATAATTTCAGATTTATTTGGTTTTAAAAAAATTGGTATTAGACTACAAATCAGAATTCCCATAAAATGACGTCACAGTAGAAGCTCTTCTCTAGCATAGATGCTACTTATGTGCCATTCCCATCTGTACCGGGTCGGCCCGGGCCGGGTAGCGTAGGTTGTTTACATATCTGGGTGGCCGGGTATTTTTCCGGGCCAACCGAGGCTCATTCTCAGCCCTCTTCTCGAGGGGGTCTGCTTCAGGCCGACCAGGGCCAACACACCCACTGCTGACAGCAAATTCACACCTTCCATTAGAGCAAGCCTCTGATTGGTGGGTAGAATCAGCCCACATGGGCTTAAGACAAGGATGTGTGGAATCAACCGGGCCAGGCTGGGGCCGACTGGGGCTACCCGGCCCGGGCCGACTCGGTACAGATGGGAATGGCCCAGTAGTTGGTGGTGGTCTTAGGGACCGATAGCCCAAACAGCAGCCTCGCCTCCGTCAGACCGCCCCAGGGTGGCTGTGGCTACATAGTGGCTTACAATCATCAGCAGTGAGTGAATGAGTGAGTGCATGAATAATGGAAGCGCTTCGAGTGTCTTAAAATTTCTGTGGAAATTTTATTTGTTTTTATTAGCACTTTCCACATGACCCACTTTAGCAGTTTCCTCTACGTGTAATGGTCTTTTCATCCTGGGAGATGGTCGCTAAACTTGGCCATTCGTTTCTTCTAGTCTGATGACATCAATTTTGTGAGACGAGCAGCTGTAGTCCACTGCATCTACCCAGTTTCTTCGAGAAAAATGAAAGTCCAGGTGTTTCATTAAGACCGTAGTACCCTGGACGACTGAGAATCTACACAAACGTAGTTCACCACGTGTTTGCACGTAAAACCTAAAGTAACCTTTGCCACCCGTTGAAAATAAGCTTTTTTTCATCAAAATATGTCTTAAAAATTCACAGACGTGTTAAATCCTTGGCACATAAACAGGATCAGAAAATAACTCATGGCTCCATAGACTCCTATCTTTACCGTAGGGTCTGGAAGTAGATGTTAAGAGTTAGAGAGGGTTTCCCAGTTCCAGCCATAGACATGAATACGTAGACACCCCGTTGGACGCTGGGGAGCGCAACAATGTTGTCGCCATATTGGATGGTTCCTCACAAACTTAAGGCATACTACTGAAAACAGATCCCTATTGACTTTTCTAGCCTACCCGTTGGGATTTTATATTCATTTATTTTATTATTTTTATATTTTCAATCCATCCACTCAATCCAAATGTGTTTCACACATTTGTCCTTTACCGACTGTTTCATCTATCTTGTAATTTCCATTTTGTACTTTGTAATTTGTATTTTGTAATTCTAATTTCTTTTATTGTTGATTTATTCAATATATTTACTTAACTGTACCATGTTCAGCGCTTTGGGCTTCCTGACAGGGTTGCGGAAGGCGCTTTATAAATAAAGCTTTGATTGATTGATTTTAACTACCATATGACTGATTGTGAAACAGCATAATAAAATGCGTATTTTAGTTGGGTAAACATCTTCCTCAGTAAAAACTAAAGGACTTATGGCCAATGGAGACCCATCCAAGATGGCGGCCGGGGTTATACAGGTCCTTTTCAAAAAAATAGCATTTGTGATAAAGTTCATTATTGTCTGTAATGTACTGATAAACATTAGACTTTCATATATATTAGATTCATTACACACAACTGAAGTAGTTCAAGCCTTTTGTTGTTTCTAATATTGATGATTTTGGCATACAGCTCATGAAAACCCAAAACTCCTATCTCAAATAATTAGCATATTTCATCCGACCAATAAAAGAAAAGTGTTTTTAATACAAAAAAAAAAGTTAAACTTCAAATAATTATGCTCAGTTATGCACTCAATACTTGGTCGGGAATCCTTTTGCAGAAATGACTGCTTCAGTGCGGCGTGGCATGGAGGCAATCAGCCTGTGGCACTGCTGAGGTGTTATGGAGGCCCAGGATGCTTCGATAGCGGCCTTAAGCTCATCCAGAGTGTTGGGTCTGGCGTCTCTCAACTTGCTCTTCACAATATCCCACAGATTCTCTATGGGGTTCAGGTCAGGAGAGTTGGCAGGCTAGTTGAGCACAGTAAAACCATGGTCAGTAAACCATTTACCAGTGGTTCTGGCACTGTGAGCAGGTGCCAGGTCGTGCTGAAAAATGAAATCTTCATCTCCATAAAGCTTTTCAGCAGATGGAAGCATGAAGTGCTCCAACATCTCCTGATAGCTAGCTGCAGTGACCCTGCCCTTGATAAAACACAGTGGACCAACACCAGCAGCTGACATGGCGCCCCAGACCATCACTGACTGTGGGTACTTGACACTGGACTTCAGGCATTTTGGCATTTCCCTCTGCCCAGTCTTCCTCCAGACTCTGGCACCTTGATTTCCTAATGACATGCAAAATTTGCTTTCATCTGAAAAAGTACTTTGGACCACTGAGCAACAGTCCAGTGCTGCTTCTCTGTAGCCCAGGTCAGGTGTTTCTGCCGCTGTTTCTGGTTCAAAAGTGGCTTGACCTGGGGAATGTGGCACATGTAGCCCATTTCCTGCACACACCTGTACACGGTGGCTCTGAATGTTTCTACTCCAGACTCAGTCCACGGCTTCCACAGGTCCCCCAAGGTCTGGAATCGGTCCTTCTCCACAATCTTCCTCAGGGTCCGGTCACCTCTTCTGGTTGTGCAGCGTTTTCTGCCACACTTGTTCCTTCCCACAGACTTCCCACTGAGGTGCCTCGATACAGCACTCTGGGAACAGCCTATTCGTTCAGAAATGTCTTTCTGTGTCTTACCCTCTTGCTTGAGGGTGTCAATGATGGCCTTCTGGACAGCAGTCAGGTCGGCAGTCTTACCCATGATTGCAGTTTTGAGTAATGAACCAGGCTGGGAGTTTTTAAAGCCTCAGGAATCTGTTGCAGGTGTTTAGAGTTAATTAGTTGATCCAGATGATTAGATTAATAGCTCGTTTAGAGAATCTTTTCATGATATGCTAATTTTTTGAGATAGGAATTTTTAGTTTTAATGAGCTGTACGCCAAAATCATCAATATTAGAAACAATAAAAGGCTTGAACTACTTCAGTTGTGTGTAATGAATCTAATATATATGAAAGTCTAATGTTTATCAGTACATTACAGACAATAATGAACTTTATCACAATATGCAAATTTTTTGAGAAGGACTTGTATGATGTCTGGTTCCAGCACCCCACAGACATTAAATTCAGCTATGCTGATTGGCTAAAAATCTAAAGAGATGCTTTTGAGAGCACCCCCGAAGACATTTTATGAGTCACTGTTAAATCAGACAATCAGTGGAATTGTATGTAGACCCAAACTTAAGTAAAACTTACACACTGGCGATAACATTCATGTAAATTAAGTGTTTTGTCCCCTCTATACTTGGAAGAGCAACTCTCCAGCGCCCCCTAAAGATGAGCCACTACTGGCCATGAGACATTACAGGGACACAAATCTGACCTGGTGGTTCTTTTCAGTAAGAAAATATGATCCAACAATTTCTACCAGACGGCGAGAATGTCTGACTGTCTATCTACCTACCAATGTCAATCAGACACTCTTCGATGTCTCCTTTCAGATCCATCTGCAGGGCTTTAGGTAAAGTGATGTCACTGATGGCTGCATAATTCTGGAAGGCTAACGGGTAAAGAAACGAAATGAGAAATTAAAGAAGCCATAAATCTGTGCAAAAACTCTGGCTTTACATTCCTAAACCATACTGAGCTTTCAAAATGATTCATTCAATTAAACATCCACATTTTATTTAGATAAGTTTATTTTCCAAAGATAAAACGTGTTTAATATGCCTTAAATCTACCGTTTATCTTCACAGACGGTGTAAATAACCTAAAGCACGATTGTCTCGTTCCCTCACCTGGATGGATGTGGTTCCACCCGTTTTTCCAGGTGTGTGTTCATCACTTAACCCAACATGAAACCGTCACGTCAGACTCACTTTTAGAGAGCTGCGGGCCGCTCCGTGTGGTCAGGATGTTGATGAAGGTGGAGACGTTGACCTTTCTGGAGGTTTCAGCTGCTTCAAACAAAATCTGTAGACATAAAAAAAAGATGCTGATAGCTTCAGTTGTATGTGTTTCAGAACAGGTTCGGTTAGTCTTCCTGGTTCCACCTGAGCGTCCTTTCTGGCCAGCTCCATGTCTACAACGGTGCTCTCGTCTTTTTTGGCACTCAGCATGGAGAGAAGCGCCTGAGTGAAGTCCCCGCTGGTCTCATCTTTAATGGCGCGCTCTAGATCGACGCCGTACTCTGAGGGAATGGTTTAGAGCAGAAATACAATCATGCATACATAAAAACACCCATATGAAATCTAAACTTAAAAAGATGGAACTAATATTTTAAGGAATGAGCTAAAAACCTTTTTTGAAGACTTGTTTGATCTCTTCAATCTCCTTGTTGGATCTTGTAGCGAGAACCTCCACCAGGACCGCCTCGTCTGTTCCCACACCCTGATGGATCAAAGTTGATCAGGATGAGTCAAGAGTTTCATGTGTAGGAGATGGCTGGTTTCTAAGGAAGGTACTAATCCTGATGCTCCATCCAGAGGCTTCAGGGCCAGAAGGGCTTTGCTGGACCAGTTCCCGCATCACAGTAAAATATTTTCCCTTCTTTTAACTGGTAAGACTTTACCTTTGTGGCGTTTCTGAGCAGGTGGGCATCGTAATACGCCGGCTTCATGAGCAGAGCCAGAGACGCATCCTCTAGATGTGAGCTGAGGACTGACTCCAGAGATTTAACCAGATTCTGCAAAACAGCACTAGTTAATAAAATCACATCTTGGAATGGAATAAGCTTCTTAACTTGAGCTTTCGCAGCAGACGTTGCTGTTCGACTGCATGATCTGCTGCATCAGACTTCTCATTAGTGTTTTAGAGCCTGGCTAAAGACGGGCTTTTAAACTAATGACAGCATCTTTTAGATGATGATTTGTTTGATTTAGTGATGAACCACTCCTGTAGACAGGACTAACGAAGGCCGAGGAGACATTTCAGCAGGTAGATTAAGGTGAGGGTATTAAATATCCAGCACGTTTTAATTTGACCTGTTTCAACACACCTGATTTCAATCAGCAGGTGATTAACAGGCTTCTGCAGAGCCTGATGAGCTGCTGCACAGGTGATTCAACCACAGGATCATGTGGTGGAGCAGAGAAACCAGTAAAACTAGCTGATACTGGCCATCCGTGACCCAGAACGTAATACCTCTGGATTAAGGTGTTAAAGACCAGCACAGCAATAGTTTCACTTTGAGTTTTTCTAGTGGACACTAGGGGGCGCTAAAAAGCCAAAACAGCAAAGTTTTCCTGTAATGTTTTGGTGAAAATCACGTTGGTGCATCTCTGATTGCTGGAAAGTGCTTTGAAATGATAAATTTGCCTTTGTAAACCACTTTTCTGACCCGTGAACAACTGCTGCCTCCTATAAATAAAACAATGACACCGAGGACAAAATGAACTGATGAGTTGTTTGTTTTGTAAATCTGCTGAGGCGTTTTCAACACAACATTACAGAACGATTGAAGTTTCTTTTACCGATGATTTGCAGATGTTTGACGAGTTTGAGCTTCGACTCACCTTCCCAGTAGACGACTCGTAAACGGCTTTGATCATTTGCCTCTGGTCGTTGTTTCTCTTCACCAAGACTGAAACGATCACATCCTCGTCTGTAGGAGAAAACAGAACCAGTTAGCTTCACGACCCTGTAACATAGACAAGGTCTACATTTCCGTGGTGTTCCACAAACGTTTTAGCAGAAAGTTTAAACATAATCTTGAAGCTGGGCTGGCACGCGTTGGTTTTCTTATCCCACAGCTAGGTCAACCTTCCTGGAAATTCTGTCCCCGTCACATTCATTTGGGTGTTTCTCAGGGTACTGCTTTGGTACCATTTTGTTTTGGCTCCCTCGTCTTCCCTTACTGTCATTTAAAGACATTACTACCATTGCTATGTAAATAATTACTGTACATTTGTCTAAACTTGCATTTCAAAACTGCACATTACAACATCTGGATCCCATTGAGATAGATGGCTGACATTTTTCTTCAGTTAAACTAAGAAATTACTGAAATAATAAATCAATCAAAATGTATTTAAATAACATTTAAGCATGCAATACATGCAACTCAAAGTGTTTAACAAATTTAAAAAGGCCCCGCATACCCTCATTCCCTCCCATCCCCAGAATTTTAAACACACACACACACACACACACACACACACACACACACACACACACACACACACACACACACACACACACACACACACACACACACACACACACACACACACACACACACACACACACACACACACACACACACACACACACACACACACACACACACACACACACACACACACACACACACACACACACACACACACACACACACACACACACACACACACACACACACACACACACACACACACACACACACACACACACACACACACACACACACACACACACACACACACACACACACACACACACACACACACACACACACACACACACACACACACACACACACACACACACACACACACACACACACACACACACACACACACACACACACACACACACACACACACACACACACACACACACACACACACACACACACACACACACACACACACACACACACACACACACACACACACACACACACACACACACACACACACACACACACACACACACACACACACACACACACACACACACACACACACACACACACACACACACACACACAGGGCTGAGTTCAGATGAACCAAACCAGATAAGGAAACACCATCAGGGGAGCCATCCGCCCCGACAGCAGCAGATCCACAGCAGCAGCCGAGGCCCTGACACAGGGTGCCCAGGGCAGGGAGGGCGGAGACCCCCACCTCCACCCAGGCACACCAGGAAAGCACCCAGGCCGCTACAGCCTACCACCACCCCCGGGGCAGAGGGCTCCCACAGTTGAAACACTGGGGAAAGGTTAAATTAAGGTTAAAATATAAAATAAGAGCTAAAATTAGAATTGTAATATAAAAAGTTATGTAGATATTAAAATAATGTTGATCATAAATCTATAGTAAAAACTATTTAAAAATAGCACGTGTAAAGAAACAATACATATAATAAATAAATAACCTCAGTAACTGAGTTTCACATGCAGATTAAAAATGAAAATCTTACCCCACCTAGCTGCAGACAGAAAACAGATGGGGAAACGTTGGGTCAGAAAAAGCCTGGCAGATCTTTGTCACACTAAATTAGCATTCATGGAACCCCATCTTGGCTCGTGACGATGGAGGCTGTTGGTTCATCATCCAGGAGAGAGTTGAGCACGTCTCATCTAGTAGAAGCTAACTGCTAGCATTAGCAACGCCACAACACTGCACAAATCCTTCAGGCTTGTTTTATTTGTTGCATTGCTGTTAGCCAATCAGAGGAGAGATGTTTGCATATCATGAATATTCATGAGTATAATTCTAAGGCCCAAACCCAATACTCGCACTTCCACCCTTGCACGATCCCGACTAGGGGTGCGAGTGCGTAGGGTGTCTCGATTCTTAAGTGTGGAAGTTGATCACGCCCCTTTTGCACCCTTGATCCACACTTCACCCAAGTCCAGAGATGCAGACTTGGGTGAAGGGCATTACCCACAATCCTTTGTACCTTTTCTGCTTTCTTGGGACCAAGGAAGGACATTGTCCTCGTAAGCAAGGCGCCTGGCCTCGCAAGACATCGCCTCGCAAGGCCAGGCGCCATGACATTGAGAAACACCCTGGATTTTTTGGTTCACTGTCTATTCTAACTCAGGTGACGGAGCTGGAGAACATCAGCATGCATGTGCAACTCCAACTGAGTGACCAATCATTTCTCAAAGGATAAGAATTACACATTTTTCAGTGAACAAGACCTTAAAAGGTTTCTCAGGAATAAAACTTAACATATTTAGATTTTATCAGTAAATCGTTTAAGCCTGTAAACGTTTAAATACACATACGTTTACTTTCAATGGCACTCTGAAGGACTGAAGCATCAGTGCTGGCATTAAAGTTTGGGTATGGAGCGACCGTTCCATAAAACTTTGGCTTCGGTTTTTCCTTCACCTGCAGGAAGAAACAAACATGTCAGCCTGTCAGGACAATCTGTTTCAGCACAAACGAAAACATGGTTGTAGCTCTGAGCTTTAGGACTTTTCAGAATATTGAAATTAAACCCCACAACTCAGAACTACTGACATGTGTTGGTTATTGTGCAGTTAAGTTAAAGTGGGTCAGAAGGAGCACAAACTCACAGTAACGGGGTGTTCTTCTGGATCTCGTTTATGGATTAAACCTTTAAAGAACTTCGTGAACATCGACATGTTTAACTGGAACGTTGAAACTCAAACTGTGCAGGAGAAACAAACAGAATCCAGTAAGCAGCAGAGTTTTTAAGACCCAGTAATCAGATCAGTAACTGGGACCAGGTGTGACACAAGAACAGGAAGTACAACCTTTACAAAATAAAACTGTTCAAATTTACAAAAGTTACTAATAAAAAAGAAACTTAGATTTTTTAAAAAGTAGAAAAATATGAAAAAACAAGAAAGAAAAAGCAAAAACATACCAGCTGCGTGACAGAAAACTTCCTCGCCTCAAAGTGTCTCAGTTTGCACAAATCAAATCACGCTTCAGTGACTCCGCCCGCCTTAGTGACTAACAGGTAGTTCTACCTGCTGGGCATCATCCAATCAGCTGCCACCTGTACTGGAAGGCAACGTCTCTTGATATAAAAGATCTTCTGTTCAGGTGAAAACGTTTCAACCTTTAGGATCAGGGTTGCCTATCCCTGCTTTAGGTAAACAGATGGTCAGGAAGACAGCACAGGTGCAGTAGACGCCTGGCGGTGGTAGTTATGATGTAGCTGGTTAACACACCCACCTGTAACCCAACCTGATCAACCACATTCTTTTTTTAGCCTTTCAGGTTAAAGAGGAACTGCACAGATTTTCTCATTTTATCAGAACATTTTTCCAGTTGAGCTTAATGACAATAATCTCTTTTTTTTATTTTTTAGCTCATTTATTAATCCTGACGGAGATGCAGAAAAACACCAAAATCAGAACTAGATCAGCAGCTTTTATTGTGACACAAATTAGTGACAAATGTGTAACCTTTGGTGAAGTTTTCTCTTTTGAAAAGGTCAAACAGCCACTCTAACTCTAACCAAGCAGCTGGAGCTAATTAGCGCTAAATTAGCTAAAAGCAGCAGCAACAACAACAACAACAACAGGTAAATCACTCATTTACATAGAAGAGACATTTGTACATGAAAATATCAACAAACATGATAAAATTACAAACATCACAAGTTAAAAAAGCATCACATTACAATAATACATTTACATTTCAGAAGGCTGCATAAAGAGTTTGCTAATATTTGTGTCTTTTCGTGTTATTTTCTAATTCATGTTAAATGTGTTTTTTACACGTTTGCTACTGGGGTCCTGCAGTGGAAACCAGTATATTTCTCATTATGTTATCTGGGAGGGGCTCCTCTCCCACGACCCCGACCCCCTCCAGCACCCGGCCCTCGAGGCCCCGGCTGGCGGTTTACCGGCCCTAGAGCGTTAGGGTTAGGAGAAGCTAGAGCCACATCTTTCTGGAGATTAACGCCTTTACCAGCTGATCCTGGTTTTGTCTTGGTGGGCCTCTCGTCCGCTGCTTTTTCTGTTTAGTCAAAGAAACGCTTTGATTACAAATGCAATAAAAACAAGTTTTTACAACCAAATCAAAGCAAAATGACAGAATTATTCAAATTGATCAAATTTGCTTCTAAAAATGCTAAAACAAACATCTGTGATTTCATTTCTCAACTTTTCAGTTTTAGTAAAGAGTTGATTTATGATAATTGTAATTTTGTTTGAAGTAACTTTTAAAAGCAGTGAGCAAATCAGCGACTGTTGCAGAACCGTTAGCTAATGATAGACTACGCTAATGAAATATGAGCTAATAACTAACAAATGCATATGAAGCAATTTAGTTGTTATTAATTTGTCAAATTGCTAATAGCTGTTTTGTGTAATAACTAGTGATTATACATACATTTGTTATACTTTATAAAGTGAAAGGAAAAAGATCAAGGAGTTGTTCAAATGAACTGTTAGCTAATGCTAAACCTGTTGCACGTTAGTCAAAGGCTGGTGTAACAGAGATGAAAATGTGAATTTCACCAAAAGTAATGTGCAGTGATTGTTTGTGTTTTTGGAGCCGCCTACTGGTGGTTAGGCGCAACTGCATGCAACGGGTCCTTCAGGCGCATTCACAGCCCCTCCCACCAAAGCAGTAATGAAAGCTGGTGGAGGTAGGTGTACTGTGAAGCCGCTCTGCACTTTAAGTCATTTTAACCTTTAATTAATATATCAATAGGACTTGTTACAGATATTTAAGTGTTGTTAGAGCATATTTTGAAAAAGGTTAGCTGTGTTTGCATTAAATTAATAACTTTATAGACGAGATTCACACTAATGGAAGCTAGCTTTTCAGTCCTTTTAGTAATGTTTGGGTTTTTTCTTTTTGCCTTGAACAGACCGTTGTATGCAGTTGCAGCGCACACACACTGATGTATTATTGTGTGCTTGTTTTTACATCAGGTACGTTCAGATGTGTTTGGTAAAAATATGATTTGTAAATGTTTTATTGTTTCAACTGCCGGTGGCAGTTGACTGTTATACCTACTGATGGCAGTTAACTGTTTCAACTGTCGGCGGCTGCGCTGCCATTGTTGGTACTATTAACTATTTTATATGTTTTATCAAAAAGAAAGTATGTATTGCTCTGAAATGCAAGTTGTTAAATTAATATATTGCTGTTGTTATTAAATGCCACTATACGATCATATGATGGAAAAAAAAGGAAAAGCAGTAATGAAAGCTGGTGGAGACCGTTGTATGCAGTTGCAGCGCACACACACTGATGTATTATTGTGTGCTTGTTTTTACATCAGATCCTGCCAGTAAAAAGCTCTGAAGGACAGTCCTGTGTCTGTGGCCTGATTGTATGTGTGCGGTGATTTGAGGCAACTCCAATAACCCTGGACGGACAACAAGAGGAAGCCGTCACACTGGTGCCGTGACCCGGATTGCTGAGCAGCTTGATGCGGTTCACCGGAGGTTACTGTGTCGTCTACCTGCAAGTTACCTCTTCACTTCAAGACCTCCACAATTGGGTCACAAGGTTTATGAACTAAGGGAAACAGTAGTTCTATTTCTAATTACCACTGGATTTTAATTGAGTGTGTTTTATTTCTGCTTTATCTTAACATGGCAAAGAGATTTGAACCAAGTGGTAAAACTGTGAACAGTCACCCCTCTTTTGGGAGAGGTAGAGGTGTAATGGGACTTACTTTTCAGCCCGGTTGTGCTGTTGGGTTTGATTTGGGTGCATCACCTATACTACCTGCGAGTAGTAGTAAACCCCAGGGATTAGCTCGGGATCCAGATGAGACACCTACTGGTCAGATGTTATTTGGGGGCCAGAGTCACTCAACACCTGTTGTTGGTAATGACTTACACCAAATAAGTGACATGATTTATCAGTTAGGTTCACAGATTGGGGAATCAATTGCAAATAAACTGTTATCTTCTGGCGTTGCTGGGGGAAAAGAAGCCTGTGGTACCTGTCAGAAACAGGACAGTGCCAATGTTGAGGACGCTTCTGTCTCAGATGGTCAAAGGTTTAATGTCATTGTAAAATCAGAAACCTCACCTGCAGTTTTCAAAGGTGACAATTCTGACAAGTACACTGTTACTGAGTGGGTTGAAATGATGAGAGGTTACCTTAGACGGCAGAACTATGATGTTTCTATGCAAAAAGAGGAAATTATGGGGAAGTTGATGGGTAGAGCCAGAGATGTAGTTAAGATTGGCCTTAGAAGTAATCCTGCCTTAAATGCTACATCCTCCCCAGATGTAATTTATAACATGCTGATACAGTACTTCAGTAACACATCCTCCTGTCTGCCTCTACAAGATTTCTACTCCACACTGCCACTCCAGAAAGAGGATGCTGTTGATTACTGGATTCGCCTTAATAAGGCTGCAGACATGGCTGAGGAAGGTCTGAAGCGTCAAGGGAAGCGCATTGAGGATATTGGTAGCGAAATTGCTAAAATGTTTGTAAAGCACTGCCCTGATACAGAACTAGTTTCAGTGTTTAAGTACAAACAGATTCATGAGTGGACCCCCAAAGACATTCAGGAGAGGCTAGATGAACACCAAAGAGAGCGATTGTCCAGTATTAAAACACCAATGCACAAACCATCTGCAGCCCAATTACTATGTTTTGAGACACACGTTGAGCCCAGAGTCTCCAGTAATGTACATATGCCTGATGGTGTTCTGCTCCATCATGTTGTGCAGCCAACCACTGAAACTCCTTTATCCTATGCACCTGCGATGGTGCAGAACCAGCAGTTCCAAGGTGATTCAGTTACTCCAGCTGCACAGACATGTTTTCCTTCCCTACAGCCTATGAAGCAGCAGAGTAAATGTACAGAAGTGCAATGCCAGTTCCAGTCTCCAGCTTCTGCCCCACTCAGTCAGCCACAAGAGGGTGCCATGCTTGGTGACATAGTGTCGATGCTCAGGGAGCTTCTCACCAAAGTTCAGCCTAGTGGTCAGCCCTCATATGCTCGTCGTGGGCGCACAAAGGGCCGGGCCAGATCTGTTATGAACTGTCGGGTGTGCAATGATGACAAGCATACAACAGAAACCCACTGCCGTTCAGACCGACTCTGTTTCACATGTTTCAGCCCAGACCACACGAGATGGTCCTGCCCAACCAATACTTCCCCTACAGAAAATATGCAGGGAAACTAGGTGACCTATGTCTGGAGGGAGGTCACATGGGTCAAGGTAAAATCTCCCACACATTTGATGCTGCTGAATTGTACCAAAATATACAGAAACTGAATGAATCAGAAAATGTTATTGTTCAGGACACACAAAGGGTCAAAAAGAGTGACAGCTTGTTTTATATGCATGTTAAAGTCGATGGCAAAGTGACTCTTGATGCCATGCTGGACAGTGGTTCGATGGCATGCTCACTGAGTGAAGTAGCCCTGCAGTCGCTAATTAATGCGGGTGTTGTTATCTCTCATCAGGAGGGTACTGATGTTGTGTTTGTGGGATGTGGTGGTGCCAGAGTGAAACCAACTTCAATAATAGATCTGGAGATGGAGATCTATGGATGTAAGCTATTGGTCCCCACCTTTGTTGTAAATAACCAACAGGCTGATCTGCTCGTGGGCTCCAATGTCATCAGGCATCTGTTACACCAGCTAAAGAATGACTCCTCCTATTGGGAAGCTATTTCCACACCAAACCTAGATCACCCTGAGCTTGAGGAGTTCCTCTCTCTGCTTGCTGGCCTGGATCGTCGTTCTGGTGAGGATGTCCCAGACAAAATCGGAACTGTGAGATGTAACACAGCTGTCACTTTGGAGGCTGGAACTGAATATCTTTTATGGGGCAAACTTCCCAAGGATACAAGGTTATCACCTGGCTTGACTGTGATGTCTGAACCCACAACTTCCCACTCTGCTCCCAGAGGCATATTGGTGGCAAGAGCGTTGACACAACTCTGGGGAGACAGATTTGTCCCTCTCAAGATCCTAAATGCTTCCAGTTGTCCTGTAACCATTCGTAGAAATGCTAAACTGGCTGATGTCTACACCTGTCTTGCTATGGAGGACTTGGTTATGCAAGATGTAACATGCTCATATCAAGCTACCACTGTAAAAAGCACTGTTGATCCTACAGCGGAAAACAATGACTGTGTGCAGGAGAGACTGAAAAGTGTTGGTCTGGGTGATCTGGACCTGCAGTCTTGTGACGTGTCAGATGGTTGGCGGAGAAAGCTGGCTGACCTTGTGATCAGCTATGAGGATGTGTTCTCCCGCCACCACTTAGACTGCGGAGAGGCAAAAGGGTTTGTGCACAGGATTCGACTCACTGATGAGAGACCCTTTCGGTTGCCCTATCGCCGTGTGCCGCCTGCTGAATACCAGAAGCTTCGTCAAGTCCTAAATGAAATGGAGGAGAAGGAAATAATCTGCAAATCCACCAGTGAGTTTGCCTCACCCCTCGTTCTAGTTTGGAAGAAGAATGGTGACTTGCGGATCTGCACAGATTTCAGATGGCTCAACAGGCGAACACTGAAGGATGCCCATCCCTTACCACATCAAGCAGACTGCTTAGCTGCTTTGGGAGGGAACACATTCTTCTGCTCAATGGACCTCACATCTGGTTTTTACAACATGCCACTACACAAAGATGACCGAAAATACTCTGCCTTTACAACACCCATGGGATTGTACGAATACAACAGGCTCCCCCAGGGACTGTGCAACAGCCCAGCTAGTTTCATGAGGATGATGATGTCCATATTTGGTGACCAGAACTTTCTCAGTCTATTGTGCTACCTTGATGATTTGCTGGTGTTTGGCCCCTCTGAAGAGGTGACTTTCAAGAGGTTGGAGATGGTGTTCGGCCGCCTGCGGTTCCACAACCTGAAGCTTGCTCCAAAGAAATGTTGGCTAATGAGAAGATCTGTGAAGTTTCTTGGACACATAATCAATGAGTCTGGTGTATCCACAGATCCCGCTAAAGTTGAGTCCATCAGTAACATGTCAACTGCAGATCTCATGGAACCAGATGGCGTCACCCCTT